ATAGGGCCTGCAGCAAGAAAACAGGGCTGGCTCTCCATGGGCAAGCAGGAGAGATCAAAGGATCTCCTCTGTCAGCCTGGGCACATGGGCAATGCTGTGGTGCCCAAATGCCTGTGGGGCCTCCAGGCAAATGCCCAGCGTGCCCATGTGGAAAAGCTGCCCTGAATTTAAGTGGTGTCAAGTGCCATCCAAACCAAACTTTGCATTGGTTAGTTCATCTAGTATATTCCATCATGTACCTTAAGATTCCTTGCCACTCCATATTTGAAAATGTAACTCCTCTTTCCAATATATGTTATAACTCATCCATTTCCATGTCATCCATATTTCCCTCCAGCTTATTTGTGCATTCACCAACTTAATGAATTGTGGCCGCAATTTCCCATGTAAAGCAAGTAACATTGGACTTTATGTCCTTGTGGAAATCTTGAAGGATTGCCTTCATATTTTTTATAAAGGCCTCTGAGTTCAACATCACTGTAGGTGTAACAGGTGCTTCTGTGGCTCACACTTCTGGCCATGGTGGCATAGATACAGGCAATACAACAGACGAAATTGAAAGCTGACTCTAATCAGAGTGTAAGCAGGTAAAAAATGTAGTTTGGCCCTCTTGGGCTCAGTAACTGTCATGATGCCCCTACCACTCTAAAAAAAAGCTATGTTTAAATAAATCCTTTTATAACCAAGATGATTTGTTCCATACCCATAACACTTTTCAAAACTTTTCCAAGAACAACTTTTAGTATGTTTTAATGTGTATGCAATAAACCCATAATTGCACTGAGCTAAAAGATGTTATAAGTTGTGCTTGCAAAGTTTTCAGTTTCCTCAATCAAAAAGAAACCTGCACATATGTCAAACCTACAATTAACTTATTTTTGTAAGATTTAGTGGACCTTTATACAAATAATATAACTCTAATAATATGGAAATAATCTATCTGATTTAATTTAGGCGGTATAACATATTAGGAAAGGGTCTCTTATAAGTCACATTAGATAGAAATGATCACATCATATTTAATTTATCATCTATTAAATATAAACAGTTCTGCGTGGCTGTTTTTCTAAATTTATAAATTTTTTCAATGTGCCAGCCTTTTGTTCTCTAATGATTTATTTTGACAGTTCTCATTGTCACTATCTATTCTCTAAACATAAAATTAGCGTTATTTTCTCTTTTTTTCCATAACTCAACATGATTTAGTTTGAATAGCAAATAAGTATGACTGTTTGCCAAGTGCTAATTGTGTATTTTCCATGAATATTCAGATGGACATTGAGTGGCAGATAATTAAAAAGGCCAACAAATTTGCTTTCTGAATTAAATATCCAATTTGTATCTCTAACACATGGAAACAGGTTTGAAAAAAATAATTATTTGTATTTTTTTCTTTGCTGTTTATACAAACTTTATACAATCTTCAAAAGTTTGATTTCATGAATATTAAACTATTTTCATCATTAAGACCAATCACAAGTCCTTTAGGACCTTAGACACACCAGTGTATAAGATAATGTTAGCAGATTGCTCATTGATACACAATGCTAAATGTTTGATAATGTTTAATTAGAGAAATTCTATAAATGTTACATTTTGACTTTAGGGAATTGAATGTGACACCCTCGTATAGACTATAGTTAATAATTGTCCTGATCCTGAGAATGTTCTGTCAAGAATGGAAACTATATCTAAAACTCAATGTAATAAGCATCAATTCTAACAATTATATATAATTTTGAAAAGTGGGACAAATGATCTTGGTTATAAAGGGATCTATTTATTGACAGAAACTGTTCTAGAAAAATAAAATAAAATCTATCAAGAACAGGTTGCTATTGACTAGAAGCAGATGTTGATACCATCATTACAAACTGAAATATAGGTTATCTGATATCAAATAATTGGGGTTGGCTGGAATACTGTTGTCATAAGTATCTTCAGCTGGACTTTAGATCTCAAGTTGTCTGCAATAACCTATTAAGAAATGATTATTTACCTATTACTGCTTCAGTAAAAATTTATTAATACCAAATATTCTATGGAGTGTATGCAATCTAAAAAGAGCTATCTGAAATTGTTCTCTAAACTCTGGATGCTGTCAAGTGTAACTCTCCCTAATATTATGCGTCTATTCAAATACTTATCTATCAATGTGCCAGTTATAGTTTTTCTTAACTTTAGGTAAGTGTGTAAAATTGTAATATAAAGAAGGGGCAGTAAGTGGGGAAAAGTGCTAAATACAGTGCAGGCTAATCACCCCGAAATAGGGATCACTCCCAGTCCCAATAAAATACAAACAAATACGTATAGTTTAAAAAACATATACCACCAGGGGCGCCACAATCACAAACATGTGAATATATTTACCATGGTATGTTCATGGGTATGCATATAAGGAGATAAAAATAAAAGTATATATAGTGAAGTATTTAATAACAAATAGAATAAGATAATACAAACAATTGCACTCACAAATGTAGTTGCACAACAAGAACATATGTCCTAATTGTGCTAAGAAAGCCTGTCAGCCCTTTACTGGGCTAAAGTCCCCTCTTGTAGCAGGATCCCGATTTTCAAAAGTTCCAATAACTTCCAGTAATTATCTGCTTGAAGGTGGATGAGATCCAAAGATACTAGGGACACTGGCCGACTTGTAACTGCTCGACGCATTTCGTCCGATCGACTTTTTCAAGAGCTGTGTGTTTCTGTTCTTCTTCCGGCTTTTTAAATGATCAGGTTCGCGCGGCTTTCAATATTGCGCGCATGCGCATTACGGTAAAACTTTACCACGCATGCTCGCACATCCAGCTTGAAACGCAAAAACAACTTTATTGATACTTTGTGCCGGCAAACACATTTCCGTACCGGACCACTTGGTCTTACGGAATAATATGTGGGCACTTCAAACTTTTGTTCATCGTACATAGTTAATCTTCATACATAAAATACTGATGAACCATCTTTTAAAAGGCAAAAGTAAAAAGCATTTTAAGTGCATCACATTTTAGAATTCTACTATTAGAAATGAGAAATTAAACATACTATAGACAGGAAAAATAAAACATATTATAGAGAAAATATGTAATAGAGACATCATATTACATTTTATACAGTGTTACAATACTTTATAAAAAACTGATATTTGCATATAACAAACTGATAATCATTTTATTCGGATGAGAGACCTGGCGAAGACATCATTAGGTTCTATTAGAATAATTCATAAATCAATGAGAGATCACTTCATAAAAAATTAGTTCATTAAAAATTATTAATAAAAATTATAATTATAAATAAAAATAAGAAATTATTAATAAAATCAAAAATCAAAAATTAATACAAATAATGCAAGTTAATGCCAATTCTATGAAAACAAAAATTATATATAATATAGTAATAAAACAACCAATTAATAAAAGGGACTTTCTAGAAACCAAAAATATTTATAAAAATATTTATAAAAAATTGAAAAATTTATAAATAATTTATAAAAAATTTATAAAATTCAATCCATAAACACCAATAAATCCAAATCAACATTTAGTCCTCTTGGAAAAGTGGTTTTGAGTCTATGGATCCACTCTGTTTCTTTCATGGCTAGCGTTTTTTCCGTGTCGCCCCCTCTCCAATGTGGAATTATCGTATCTATCCCTATGCATCTTAAATCTTGGAAACTAAAATGGGTGCAATTTATACAATGTTTGGGAACACTATGTTTTATATTCCCTCTTTTTATCCCATTAAAGTGTTCCAAGATTCTAATATGGAGTTTTCTTATTGTACGACCCACATATTGTATGCCACATTTACATTCAAGTAGATAAATTACATTTTTTGTCTGACAATTTATAAAAAAATTTATTTTAAAAACTTCTTTAGTGGCAGTGCAGGTAAATTCTGTTGTTTTCTGTTTTTGGAATTTACATGTACTGCACTGCCCACATTTAAAAAAAACCTTTTGGTTTTTCTTTAAGAAAATTGCCCGTTGTGGCTTCTTCTTTAGTGGGTTTGATACGGGGTAGAGCGCTTGGAGCTAAGATAGATTTAAAATTCTGAGTCTTTTTGTAGATAATTTGGGGTTTACTTGGTAAAATATCCTTTAAAAGTTGATCTTGTTTTAAAATGGGCCAAAATTTCTTCATAGTTTTCTCTATAAGGTGAGCTTTATTATTGTATCTAGTTAAAAAGGAGATACTATAATCCTTCTTATTTTTCTTATATACCTTTTTATCTTTTAAAAGTTTATTTCTATCTTTGTCTTCTATCTGTTTTTCTGAATTGATCAAAAGTTGAGATGGATAATGTCTTTTTTCAAATTTTTTATTTAACATTTTAACTTGTTCTTTAAAATCACTTTTGTTAGTACAATTTCTAAGGAGTCTCGTTTGTTGTCCCTTCGGTATATTATTCAGCCAATTGGGGTGGTGACAGCTAGAATATTCTATGAAGCTGTTCCCATCCGTTGGTTTAAAAAAAGTTTTATTACAAACTACTCCTGATGATACAAAGAAAGAAAGATCTAAAAAATTAATACTCTCCGTCTGAATTTCAGCCGTAAAACGCAATCCATAAGTATTATTGTTGATATATAATAAAAATTCTTCTAAAAGAGACCTATCCCCTTCTCAAATAATAAGGACGTCATCAATATATCTTCTCCAGAGCACCAGGTTCGCACCATATGGATTGTTATTCCAAATTTTCTTCGCTTCCCAATCCGCCACAAAAATATTTGCATAACTAGGTGCGAACCTGGTGCCCATTGCAGTTCCACAAGTTTGGAGGTAATATGTACCTTCAAACCAAAAGAAATTGTGAAAAAGGATAAAACTAATGATATCTAAAATTAAAGTGGCTTGTGCTTCATGCATATTTATATCCTTTCCCAAAATTTCCCTGATGGCCTCAATACCTTTCTCATGATCGATCGACGTATACAAAGATGAAACGTCTACCGTGGCCCAAATGTAGTTATCTTTCCACGTCATGCCTTCTACCTCTACAATAATTTGATTTGAATCTTTAATGTATGAGGGAGCTTTTGGAACATATTTCTGTAAAAAATGATCTACATATTCTGAAACATTACTAATCAACGAGCCAATGCCACTAATTACTGGCCTCCCTGGAGAATCGATAAGTGATTTGTGAATCTTTGGCAAATAATAAAATATAGCCATTTTTGGAAATTTAATAAAAAGGTATTCAAATTCGTCCTTTTTGATAATATCTTTATTAAAACTTTCTGACAATAATTTAAAAAGCTCTTTCTTATATGTTTCCATGGGGTTAGATTTTAAAATAATGTATGTGTCTCTATCATTTAAAATTCTATACGATTCTTTCAAATAATCATCACGATTTAGAATAACTATACCTCCCCCTTTATCTGCCTGTTTTATGACAAGTTCGTGGTTTTCTTTAAGTTGTTTTAAAGCATTTTTTTCTTTTTTAGTGAGGTTCTCCTTTCCATTATTCTTTGTTATTATCTCGAATTCATTTAGAACCATATCACTAAAAACCGGGATGAAATCTCCCTTTTCCCAAGTTGGAAAAAACTTTGATTTGTGTTTCAGACCTGAATATAAAATTTGTGGGGATATGGATTCTATATTCTCTTTCTCACTGTTATCGCCAAGTCCCTCATCCTCTCTTTTCTTTTTCTCAAAGAAACGTTTGATAGTCAGTTTCCTCAAAAATTTCTGGATATCAATAAATAGTTCAAATTGGTTAGGGCCTTTTTGTGGGGCAAATTTCAGTCCTCTATCTAAAATGCTGGCTTCAGCTTTATTCAATTTATATTTAGAAAGATTAAAAATACCTTCTAGACTATCATAGTTCTTATTCTCTTCTGACTCTTTCAATAGTCTGACATTTCTCCCTCCTCCATTTCCCCTAATCCTCCTACGGCTCCTAGGAGTTTCCTCTTTTTGGGTGGGGTTTGAGCTGAACTTAGAGGGGTAAATCTGTTCCTCTGTTGCCAATAATTTTTTATTGTTGGACTTCTCAAAACTTGGTTCCTTTGTCCTCTTCCTAAAAAATCTTTCTGTGTAGTTCTTACACTATCTTTTGTCCTATCTGTCTCCATAAATCTTGATTTATCCTTTCTCCTAACAATGGGATTTTCATATTTCGTTCTCCCAGATTTAATCGGGGTATTCCACTGAACCCTAGATGGTTTTTCAATCTTTCTTCTGTCGTCATTTTTATATGTTTGTCTCTCTATATTGGGATAAGTCACTCTATAATTTGATCTATAGTTTTTAAGGTGTTTCTTTTTCCACTCTCTTTGTTTTCCATTTTTGTAATCCTCTTTGTTTCTATTTAATTTACCTTCTTTTGTAGTTAAAATCTTTTTCAATTTTTTATAAATATTTTTATAAATATTTTTGGTTTCTAGAAAGTCCCTTTTATTAATTGGTTGTTTTATTACTATATTATATATAATTTTTGTTTTCATAGAATTGGCATTAACTTGCATTATTTGTATTAATTTTTAATTTTTTATTTTATTAATAATTTCTTATTTTTATTTATAATTATAATTTTTATTAATAATTTTTAATGAACTAATTTTTAATGAAGTGATCTCTCATTGATTTATGAATTATTCTAATAGAATCTAATGATGTCTTCGCCAGGTCTCTCATCCGAATAAAATGATTATCAGTTATATATACAGTTTGTTATATGCAAATATCAGTTTTTTATAAAGTATTGTAACACTGTATAAAATGTAATATGATGTCTCTATTACATATTTTCTCTATAATATGTTTTATTTTTCCTGTCTATAGTATGTTTAATTTCTCATTTCTAATAGTAGAATTCTAAAATGTGATGCACTTAAAATGCTTTTTACTTTTGCCTTTTAAAAGATTGTTCATCAGTATTTTATGTATGAAGATTAACTATGTATGATGAACAAAAGTTCGAAGTGCCCACATATTATTCCGTAAGACCAAGTGGTCCGGTACGGAAATGTGTTTGCCGACACAAAGTATCAATAAAGTTGTTTTTGCGTTTCAAGCTGGATGTGCGAGCATGCGCGGTAAAGTTTTACCGTAATGCGCATGCGCGCAATATTGAAAGCCACGCGAACCTGATCATTTAAAAAGCTGGAAGAAGAACAGAAACACACAGCTCTTGAAAAAGTCGATCGGACGAAACGCGTCGAGCAGTTACAAGTCGGCCAGTGTCCCTAGTATCTTTGGATCTCATCCACCTTCAAGCAGATCATTACTGGAAGTTATTGGAACTTTTGAAAATCGGGATCCTGCTACAAGAGGGGACTTTAGCCCAGTAAAGGGCTGACAGGCTTTCTTAGCACAATTAGGACATATGTTTTTGTTGTGCAACTACATTTGTGAGTGCAATTGTTTTTATTATCTTATTCTATTTGTTATTAAATACTTCACTATATATACTTTTATTTTTACCTCCTTATATGCATATCCATGAACATACCATGGTAAATATATTCACATGTTTGTGATTGTGGCGCCCCCGGTGGTATATGTTTTTTAAACTATACGTATTTGTTTGTAAAATTGTAATACATTTGTCTGTTTCATCTTGTTATGAACCAATATTCCTTCATATTACTAAAAGGGGGTGAGACATTCTGACCAGAAACTGCTTTTCTTGTACCTGCTCTATCTTTCACGCAGAGGGAATTTAATGGCATTTTGGTTCTGGAATGCCCTTATGGATGGGATCAGACTGATACGTAAATGGTAAAGGTTCTCTTGGTAATGGCACAAGTGAGTAAAAACATTTTCGAGACTTGAGCGGGGATAAATAAAAGGCAAGCTACTGAGTTTCTCTAAGTTTCTCTAAGCTTTTTAGTCCTCAGTGTTATTTTCCCTGTATTTATTCACTAGAAAAAAAAGGTTATCTACACATTGAATTTATTCATTTGGAATGTTTTATATGGGAATTCATGTAAAATCACATAAAAAGGCTTAAATATAAGTAAGATTGATAGATTGAAGTACCTCCATACCCTGAAGAATATGTAACATTGCACTTTGGTTTGTTCCTAGATGAGCAAAACGGGTCCAATTTGTGCTTTTCGTCATACAGGTATGTCTTAGCTCATTTCAAAGAGAGATCTTATCATAAATTTGATATTTTTACTGAGCCTAGTAGATGTAATAGATAAAAATGTACAATATTACAGGAATGACTGATAGGAGCATTGATAATCTAGTGAGAATTTGGGAATACAGTTAAAATGGCATATCTAAATATTGTGTTACTGTAGTTGACCTGGGTGTAGAACATCTATTTATCAAACTTACATCTCATGCACCTCCATTATAGATTAGTCATAAAAAGCAATTGCTACTAACAAATGTTACTCACTGATTATGCAAGAAGTGGTACAATAAATACCAAATAATAAGTCGTTTATTCAATCAACAGTAATTTGCATTGAGTTGACAGAGGATTTCCAAAAATATTTCCAAACGCTAACGTTGATGAAATTTTCTTCATCTCAACTACTTTAGCCTAAATTATATATCACCTGCTTGATAATTTTTCAACAGTACTTGTGTTGATCCAGGACCCCACTATCCTATTATGACAATTGATTGACATACTATGGTCATACCATAGTGATCAAGGAACATTTATTAAAGTCTACCTTGGGGAATATAAAATTATGTTATAATAACACATTATAGGGATTTCATATGATACCCATTACATGATAAGGTTTTCAATTAGTATATTTAACCTGTGTCTCCTTTAAGGAAAATCTTATAAACCTTGGGCAATTCATATTTCTTTTGAACAATGAGTAAGAATCATTGATTTTCTTCCCTGGCACCTGTCATACTTGACTGATAACATAAATTGATATTTTTTTTCTGATTGCTTTGGCAGCAATTTTATCATGCCTGATTTCAAGATTTCCAAAAAATGATTAGGATATTAGGGCCATTAAAATTATATATATGGAGTACATTGGCATTGTTGCAGGCTTATACAATGTATGATCATATACTGTAACTAATCCCCCATTATTTTTGCCTAGGTTAGGTGTTTTTAAAAACTATTGCATTCTGTGAGCTTTGAAATTGCTGGTAAGAGAAAGAACGAGTGTGCTGAATCTTGTATGTTTTCTTGTGTATATTTATATACACACACACACACAAAAAAAAAAAACACATGTGAATATAAAATTGCCAAGTGAATGTGCAAAATATATCCTTGATAAAAGTTCAGACAACTGAAACATTGTTTTTTTTTTTATAGGTAAACAGCACAAATAAGTAATTAAATAGATAAGAGTTAGAATGTAACAAAGTAACGTAGAATGGCCGGACTAACGTATAAGGGGTAGTCAAATTCAAGCCGAGGTCACCGAGTACAGAAATCAGGACAAGCGAGTAAGCCAAAACCGGGTCAAGGAGTATAGAGAACAGAATAGTCACAAACAAAGCCAAGGTCAAAAGCTAGAAGATAAAATACTGAATACAGAATAGCACTATTGGGATCAAAAATGAACCACAAAAGGGCAAGGAACCTAACGCATAGAATCCCTTTTATACTGTGGCTGTAGCTTGTTAGGACGGTAGCCACGCCCCCAAAATGTCATAATTTTAATATTTTGGTGGCATGTGACGTCCTTTGTGTCATGATGTCGACGCCCTTTTTTCGCGTCATAAAAAGCGGTAGAGCTATCGCGGCCGGCGTGAAAACAGCTGGAGCAGGAAGGGGACAGCTGAAGAGGACCTGCAGCAACATGTGAGAGGTGAGTACCCTGGGGAATAACCGTGATAAGCATAGAAGGTACCCTGACAATATTGTACTATGAATTATCTGTTCTTTTTAGTTGGTTTTATTTTCTTTGTAGCATTGTACAATACTGCTGGGTTGTTAAGATTTTGAAAAAAAAATTAAATGCAGGAAGAAAAATGCTTCCTCTTTACATTTTCTTTAAAAAACATAGTAATTCATCCAAATCAATCAGCAATTTGTATGACATCCTAAACCACAAAACGTATGGGAGCTAGCTTTGATTTGGGCAGAGGAGTGAAATACCTCCAAGTATGAGGATGGGTGTTGGCCTCTAAGTTAAGGCATGGAAGATCTAGAAATCTAAACTATTGGGATTCTAACATTTCCCTACAACCAGTAAAGCACTAATTACAACAGGAGTCAGGTTGAATTGAACAAGTCGTATTTGAAAACCTGTTAGAGTTATTTGAACCTAGCGTAAGAAGGCTGATCAAGTGAATTGCACCCCATGTCTAAAATTAAATGTATACATTAACTAAATATAATATCAGAATAAATCTAGACTAATGATGTACAAGATTGAAATTGTACTAGTAGCTAGGGTTATTAACGTACCTTTTAGGGGATTAATGAAATTTGGAGATTAATCTGGATACCAAGATTGAATCTCTGGCCAAATAGAATAAATTATATATTTCTTCCAAATAGGTAGCTTCACTCACAGATTTTAAAAGTCCAAAATTTATTGATAAATGTTTAAAAAAAGATGATCAACTTTTCATTCCTCCATAGAGGACTTTCATCAGGATCAAATAATTTATCAATAAATTTTGGACTTTTAAAATCCGTGAGTGCAGCTACCTATTTGGAAGATTGGATAATACAGCTGTGGTTTGCTACCACCCGGTTATAAAGGGACACTAAAGTGTGAGTGCAAGAGCATTATTTTATTTATTTTTTATATATTTATATATATATATATATGTATATATTTATATATATATATATAATATCTTAAGTAATTATATTGGACATAGAGAAATGTATACATAGAAGCTAAATTCATATACCTTAATATGCCAGACTAAGAGAATAAACCAGCAGCCCACCAATACTGTTATAATCTACAAAAACCAAGAATGTGACCACTGTGATTATGAGTTAGCACCTAAACTGGCATACATGTTTGCCAGTAAGTTATCCGGTAATAACTGAAGAGGGTTTTATTAATTGATTCCTAATGACAGGATAGTGGAACCTAGAATTGCAGCTGAATTTCAATTGAATGAGATTGAATAGGAACGAACATAGGTTGAAATACAACCACACTCTGTCGAATTTCCCTCGAACACTATTCAATTTCCCCAAGCGAAGTTGAGCTTCAGGTGGGCTAGGCTGAAACTCCTCCAAGTAAAGAGAGCAACTCAGTCAGCAACCTTCAGTTTTGCAAACGCGAGAAGGTCCAACACTGGAGAATTAATTTTTGCAGTAACAGCAAACTGCGTGAATCCGAGAACAACACACAGTGTACAAAGAATGTATTCTCAAACCTTAGTATGGTCGGATTTAATGTAGGACAGAAAAGAATAGTCAGAGGATAGCCAAAAATGTAAGGATGCAAGAAATCAGGAGAGCGATTAAGGAATAGCCTGGTCAGGGTACCAGAAAGTAGAAAAGTCAAGGTACAAGCCAAGTTAGGAAACCAAAGAACAGAATAGTCAATTACCAAGAAAATTCAAGCATACAAAGAAAACACAAAAGGCAAGGAGTAGCAACAGAGGGAACTTAAAGAACCACAATAGGCAAAAGGCACTTTTTTTATATGTGAGCGTCTTTTGCTTTAAAACCAAGCCCCCAGTAAAAATGATGCAAATTCACATCATCAATGTAATGACATTGCATCATAAGAAGGGGTCTGATACCAGCATCCAGCATGAGACTTGCCCATCTGGTGGACAGAGAAGTCGTCATCGGGCACCGCACCGCGTGGGCGTGTTGCGATGAGGTAAGAGATTGTGACACAATGCATGCTGTGACAATCAAGATACAGTTACTGACTAGAGTAGATTAGTACTTTAAGTAGCCAAAACTAGTCCCTCCCACAACACCATGTATACATATATAAATATATTTTCCAGTACTCTGATTGCTCTGTTTTTGCACCATTTTGGTTCATCAAGATAATTTGTTTCCTAAAATAACATGGAATTCGGCAGAACCGAAATACCACATGGGTGAAACCCCGAATTGCCAAAAATATTAAAAAAAATTAAAAAATAATAGACAAAATTATTCAGCCAAACCAATTTTTTCCCCATGTAAGTCTACTGATTAGTGAATAGATTCCCTGGGAATCTTTCTTTTGAGATGCTATAATTTTGTAATTAGTGCATGAAAGGGTTAATGATGCTTCTGTGGGTCAGGATTGTCTTTTCTGTACTATGCTCTCTAACCTGAAATTGAAGAAATGGGAATTAGCAGGAAAAAAATGAAAAGAAAAAGAAATAAGCAATATTTGCTGCAATTTAAATCAAGCACAGTGTCAACAATGATAATGAGATGTCATTGCAGAACTTTGTTATCAGACTTCTGTCACCGCAAAAAACACCTCGGGCAAAACTCACAAAATGATGTGCTACTAATTCACTTTATAATGATACTAGGACAAATGTAATCACCTCAGAAATTGATGAGAAAAACTTTTTTTAAAAGTGAACCATCACAGGGTCTTTTGCAGCTCTTTCATGTTATTGATGCTAGCATGAACTGCTGGCTAAGCAGTATGATATTTGTAGTTTAAAAAGGGGCAAGGTTATCTATAATTGTGACCTAATGTGGTGTGTTACCTCCATGTCTTTCCATACAATCTTAGTTTTGACTCACTTCAATTCTTGTATTTCTGTTTAAACAATTTATAATATTTCCTCTAATGCAAGAGCTGGAGTGAGTCATTTGCAATTTTAAATGTCTGCCGTTGTTTGCATCATATTTCGCCTTCCAGTTATTGTTATATATTTATTTTACGTTTCATTTTTATAGCACTTATTTGTCTTTCTTGAATATTAAATTATATTTTCTTTAAATTATAAGTGTTCTTCTGTACTTTAGGACTCATAATGGTCTGAACGCAGAAATCAATAAGAAAAAAATAGTTGTTTATTCACTAAACATAATTTGTGAACTAAATTATGAAATTTGGGCCATAAATGCTGAGGTTGGGAAAATTCTCCAATTTTCCAGTTAAGCTATTTTGACCTAAACTACAGTTGCTTTACATTTTAAAGTATCATTTTGGTTACCATAGAAACCAAACCCGGTTTAACCCCAAAGGTTGCCTCCAGAGTTGGTTTTCCAGTTCTCTGTGTGACATCCAGATTCCAAGTTGACATTTTGGAATCGCAGATTGCCGCTCGCCAGGAGCACCACTGATTGACTAGATGACCAGCTGATGCTCTAAGCCAATCAGTAGCTCCCCAATAAAAAAAAAAAGATATGTACCTGAGCTGCTATGGCGACTGGAGTGTCAATTTAAGTGGTGTTTTAGGTAGAGTTTGCCCAAAAAGAACATTCTCCAAATCAAATAGCAAGCATGGTCTACATGCAGAAATATCACTAAGACAATAAAATCACTATTGGTGAAAGTTTACATTTATATGTGTCAACTTTGAAACATTATAGTAGTCATTTAAATTAATACTCCAAGCATCATAACCTCTACAGCATCCAATAGTGGTCATAGTGCCAGTTGTTCCCCCGCGTCACTCAACGGAAAGAGTTGCAAATTAATTTCTTTGCTGAGAGCCCAAAACTCCTGCATGCTTCTACTAACTCTCATGTGGTAGACCCGTGTGTGAAGGACCAACTTATTGGCTGAGAGCATTAAATGATCACTTGCAGCTAATGAGCTGCACCCTGAAGAACCAGGCTTAGCTCAATGTAGAGAGCTTCTAGCTCTTCTTGAGGAGGTGACTAGGGACTCGAAGACCCTGAGTAAGTTGACAAACAATTACAAAAGATGTGGTGTACATTAAGAGAAAGGGGTCTTACGCTCCAACCCAACCAGTCCTAATAAAGTTATGTTTGCTGCAGGCTTTGGCATGTGACCCAAATAAAAGTAAAATGACATGTTCATAGCACCAAGGAGGAAAGAAAAAAAAGAACAAACATAGGATCTGGAGTAATGATTGTTTACTCAGTGACAGTTGGGAGCCTCTAATTATTATTTTACCAGCCATCTTTTTTTTAAATTTTCTGTCACAGATCAAAAATCCCAGTTTGCCAAAAACGGGTAAATCTCCAAATAAGTGTCCTAATTTTAGGAATATTTATCTTACTAATAATGATTCAAAGATATATTCCAAGGTGTTAGCAATTAGATTGGCTAAATTGATTCTGCTGATTATTAATAGGGACCAAGTAGGTTTTGTACAGGGTAGACAGGCACCAGATGGAATGAGGGGGTTTATCAACTTGATTCAACATATTAATTTATTTAAGACATCTTCTCTGCTTCCATCTCTAGACACGGAGAAGGCGTTTGATAGATTTCACTGGAGGTATTTGTGCATGCATGCAAATGCTTCTGGTTTCGAGTCTGAGACCTTTTCTCTGTCTAATGGAACCAGACAAGGGTGCCCTTTATCCCCACTCTTATTTGTCATCACTATTGAAAACTTGGCTGAGCTCATCAGACTAAGTCCAGATATAGAAGGTATAGGGTTTGGTGAAACAATTCACAATTTCAGATTGTTTGCACATGATATTATTAAAAACCTGAACCAACCTTGAGACATTTGAAGGATATATTGCGTGAGTTTGGAGAGGTATCATATTACAAGCTTAATGAAACTAAGACGCAGGCTCTTCCCTTTTAATATTAGTCATTTATATCTTATGCCTTTAAAGAGTTCATACCCATATGATTGGAGAAGTGATTTTACAGACTATTTAGGCATTTGTCTATGCAAAAACTTAACAAAAATGCATTCTTTGAATGCATATAATTTGAATAGGGCGTTGCCCGACTTACAGAAGGAGATGGAGAGATGATGCGGGTTGGAGCTCTCATGGTTGGGTAAGACTGCGTCTGTTAAGATGATAATCCTCCCCAAAATTTTGTACTACTTCAGGACCATACTCCTGTCTGTCCTGTTATTGTTTTAAAAAAAAATAAAAAATGAATTCAGTGATTTTAAAGTTTACTTGGAATAAGAAATCAAGTATGATCAAACTGACTAATTTGCAACATAATAAATCCAATGGAGGTATTGGTGTACCCGATATTCGTAAATACTATTTCGCTACCAAATTTTTATTAAAATTGTTTTGTTTTGTTTTTTAATTCTTTATTTTTGCCTCACTCCACTCGTGAGTATGCAACAAATGATCTGTTCATCACGTTGGTATACATTAACACAAGCATATTGTTTAGACATTATATATGGGTAAATACGGAGTGGTGTGAGGTTTTTTGTGTGTAATTAGGCATGAGGGCTAACAGGTAGCGTCCAACAAGATGTACACCATACTCTAGGTACAAGGTAACTCCCTCCCACAATACAACCATGGGGCCTACGTTTAGTACTGTCAAGAGTGGGGGGGGGGTGGGAGGGGACATCTCGAGTGTCGTGCACCCTCTTAGTAGATTTATCAGGATAGCGTCCCGGTCGGGGTGTATCAATTCCCTGTTGAGTTAACAGAGTTTGTTACAGAGGATGTGGAGGGTAATTTCGGATAAGTAGGATCTCAGCAACGGATAACTATTCAACCAATAAACATGAAAATAGTTGTAACGGACCGTTTTGCACAAAAGGGGTAAAAACCGCTTAGACGATAATCCCCTTTCAGAGACAGGCACAGCTACTGTAGAATCACCAAAACTCACGAATTGAATACAAGTGAATGCTCCAAACACCCGAACTGCATACAAGTGAATGTTCCAAACACCCGAACTGCATACAAGGGAATGCTCCAAACACTCGAACTGCATACAAGGGAATGCTCCAAACACTCGAACTGGAACCTCACGAATAGCTGCTAGCAGACGAACAGGAAAAGCACCCAAGCGGCTTACACTCCTGGCAATCAGTCTCTATCAGCATACAGTAAATCCCCCCAAAGACGAGACAGAGCTCCGTGTTGAGGGTCAAGCAGTGGTCTGTTTAATGAGGGCTACCTGCCCAGTATTTATGCAGGTCTCCCACCTGGTGGACACTCCCCTAGGGGACCAGATGGAAGACTGTAACAAAAGACAGACATGTACCAATTACAGACATACAGAAGTAAAACATCCCCACAATGCATCCTGGCTTCCTCCCCTCTGCCCTGGAGAAGTAATTCAATTATCTCGCAGGACAAAGGCAAAACTCCATTACACATGTGGGGACACAAAGACAGACTATCACTTTAAAATACATAATGGGACAAATGGTACAGTAAATATATACATGTAACATATCCCCAGATAGCTCAGGTCTGAGTGCACATTATTAGGTGAATGGCACTCAGACCACACAAATACAGTTTAATTGCCATGGAGCCAAAGTCTTTAATTCCACAAACAGGCTCCATGGCATAGCTATCTGGATTAAAACATTCCTCCATCATAAAATACCGAATTTACATGCATTCGGTAAATCCGTACAAATTAGAACCAGGGGTTGGAGGTTCAGCGGTGCCTGCACATAAAAGTGTCTGGGTTTGGTGCAGGAAAGCCGGGCAGAAAAGCGCTGGCTGCCCGGGGAGCTCCAGAACACCGCCATCGTGTGGCGGCTAAGTGTAACCGCGACCACCCAGTAACAATCAATTAAGCTGCGGATAACCGCAGCTACTGGGTGGTCAATTGCCGGCACACGCTCGTTAAGCCGCGGTTAACCGCGGCTTCAGGGAGGTAACTGGAGGGCGTACTCCAGCTTCTGGGTGGCCAATTATGGTCGCCGGCCGGCTTCCCACGGCTCTGGGGAGGCTGATAGAAGTCTGTTTGTTCGGTAGATAGAATCTACCGAACGGCTGTGCAGAAAGGGAGAAATAAATCCTTCTGCACAGTAAAATTAACCCTTTAGCTGCCGGTCCATAATCCAAAGGCAGCAGGTGGGCAACCAGGCTCCTCCAATGCAATGTGGCGAGATTGGTCTCGTCACAATAGTATTAGAGAATTGTAGAGCATTCAGTATGCAGTTCGTCTGCATATTCCTTCGGTCACGTATAGTCCTTCAGGCTTGTTAGTGGAGTTATCTCCTTTAGCCGGACTATGTGTCACAGGTCCGTCAAGTTACCGGTGGTCCAGGTGGGTGTTCAGAGAGTGACCTTGGTGTGAAAGCCGGGATTCTAGATGGATCCATGTTGCGGAGACGGGAGGTCGATGCGTCCTGTTCAGGTAGCAGCTTCAGGCTGCGCGTAGCGGTCTCCAGTTCTTGTGGGTTCTTGGCCCTGTAGGTGCCTCCCTGGTGAGTGAGTATGAGATGTCTAGAGTTTCCCCAGCGGTATGTCACGTCCTGATCTCTTAGGATGTGGAGAAGGGGTTTCATTGATCTGTGCCAAAGTAGTGTCTTTTTGGTTAGGTCAGGGAATACAAGCAGGTATCAGCCTTCGTATTGGATGGGGGTTTTCCCTCTCACTGCTGAAGAGATTAAGGCTCTATCTTGCATGTCTTGCATGGTTTGAAAGCGGAGAATAAGGTCCACTGTGGCAGTGTTTGGGGCGTTTTTTTGGTGTTGGTAGCCTGAACATGCCGTCCGCTTTAAGTGCCTTTGCCTGTTTGGTCGGTAGCAGGGTGGAGATGAGTCGCCTTATGTAGTGCGGCGTTTCCTCCGTACTCACTGTGCCAGGGATGCCCCTCAGTTTAAGGTTGTGCCGTCGCCTCTGGTTTTCTAGTGTATCGACCCTGGCTTCCATTCCCCTCTGGGCCAAGTGGAACTCCTCAAGCCTCCGCTCCACTTTAGTGATTCTGGATTCTTGGCTGCTGGAGGTGGCCTCTAGGACCGCGAGTCGTGTGAGTGCCCCATTTACTGTCTCTTTAAATTGTGCAATATCGGCTGCTATATTGGAGCGCAGTTCTGTTAGCAGGGATTGCAGCATATCTTTAGTAATTGGTTCTTGGCCAGCAGATGGGGTAGGTCGTACCTTCGGCTCTGCTCCCAGCATGGCTCCTCTGTCCAGATCTGTATGGAAGTCCTTGGAGGAGTAAGAGGATGCTTCATCCGGAGGCGCCATATTGGGCCATGCGGTCTGCTGTGCGCGGCGCAGGAAATCGCCAATATCTCAGCTGTTAGATACTCGGTCCGACTTGTTTTTTTTCGATTTTCAGCCCATGGTTGTGTCCACCTCCAGGGTAGGTGCCAGCCTGTTTGCCTCGATTTTTGCGGGTCAAATTGGCCGTTTATCGCTCGTTCGTGTCAGAGCTCTTTAAACTTGCGTCTGGCCGGGTCTGTTGCTAGCTCCGCCCCCCCTTATTAAAATTGTTTTAATAACAATTTTAATAAAATGAGATGGCAAGAAATGGAGAAGGGTAAAGCTTTTCATTTAGACTTAAGGAGATTCTTTGGGTAGGCCTGGAAAAGAGACCTAGAACTACCAGTTTATTTTTTTCAACTAAAACAACACTCATGGGACCTTGTTTTTAGAAACAACAATCATACCAGAGGCTTATATAGAGCTATGCCACTGAAGGAATAAGTACTGTCCTTAGATACAGATTTCTGGCATTCTTATTCCATAAATCATCTGGATAACTTTTTTCATGGCAACGCGATTATGTCTTTTGATAAATTACATTTTCACTATGGTTTACAGGACGAATCTAAATTTAACTGTTCAGTGAATATAAATAAGTTGAAAGAATTAGTCAACATTTCAGAAACTAGATAAAAACTATAAGACACTTGTACTTTTGACCTTGGAAAAGGTTTTCCTTCATGAACCAGGAAGAAAAGGTATAATTTCTTTATGCTACTCAGTTTATAATGTTGAACCTTCAGATAAGTTGAGACACATGTTGTCATGGGAGACGCAGTTGGGTACAAAATACAGTTTGAAAGAATGTTTTTGTTATTTTACTTCACAAGAAAATATCATACTGTACCGACTGTAACGGATCACCTGGCACCTTGACAGGGTACCTCCGTTGAAGGATTCTCCTAGCGCTTCCTGAGGGCTCAGAGCACTCTGGCAGACACCATAACCACTGAAGACCCCACGAACCGCCGTAGCTTGGTTGGGGTCTCGCCGTCTCTTACCCACCCTGGACCTACATCCAAGAGAGTGAAGCAGGAACAAGCTCTTAAAAGAGCTTAGGAGTGATTATAGCAAGGGAATATGCAGAGCATAGCAATCCCTTGTAGCAGATTCCCCCAATAAGAGATGGCACTCCAAATTGAGGGTGAAGTAGAACTGTCTGTACTGGCACATACAGCCTCTTTTATTCACATTCTACAAACATAATACTGCCCACAGGGTTTTGAAATACAACCAATTAATCCGTACAATACACACAGACACTCCCACACAAAATCCTCCCCTCTGCCTGTGATATGATTACTGAACACAATGGTTAATATAATTATCACAGGCAGAGAAATACAGTATTATAAAACATATCATAGGGACCCCCAAAACATGCAATAACCCCATATCCAAAATTCACCCAGATCCGTTCAGTAGTTTGAAAGATACGGTTTAATGCAGATTCTGCAGAACATATACAGGCTATATGAAAAATAATTACTGTTAAATGTGTCCCCTGTTCTATAGTTTAAAACTACTGCACGATGTCTTTGTGCACCAAATACCGGCGAGATGGCACCGTGTAGAAAAGTCAAAACAGTGTCTGTGAGTTAAAATGGCCGCCATCCATTGTTCTCACCATGTGCTTCATCCATTGTTCTCACCATGTGCCTCTGATACATGAAATGGTAGCCGCCCAGTAACTCCACAGTATGTCCCCAGATGGTTCTTAAAGGGCCAGCAGCAGCATAATAAAATCAAGTATGCCCACATCAGTTCCTAGAAGGGCAATACATCCCAGGGCCATAGTCGCAGGGCAGGAGGCTGGAAAACAGGCCCCTCCAAAAACCAGTGGCGAGGTTACTTTCGCCACACTGACCATTTTGAAAACCATTATAAGATTTTATATCTGTGGATTCAGATCGGTGTTGGAGGGATTGTGGAGGTACAGGGAACATGGCACACATATGGTGGTTTTGTCCAAAACTCGCCAGTTATTGAAAAATGATTCACGATTTGATTACTAAATTGAATAAGAATATAAGTACCTTGACATCAGAGCTAGAACTATTTAAGAAACTCATGGAGTCTGTTGGGAAAATTGACAAAATAATAATAGCCACATTCTAATTGCAGCTACTTCATGTTTCTCTAGATGCTGGAAGTCTAAAACTTTACCTAAACGTAGCAAAGTTTTAACAATGATCTTAGATAGTAAAACAAACAAAATGTCTTATAGAAAAAATACACATTTATTTGTAAATCTTCAACATATTTGGGTTAAATGGGAAGAAGATATTAAAAAAAAATTAGTTTATAGATATATATTTTAAGTTCAAAGATGTATAACTAATGTTTTGTACACTATTTCATATGTTTACTAATAAGGATGAATCCTGCCCTTTCCTTCCCTGAATTGTATGTTTGACTATTCGTTATTATTTGCTGTGTAAAAAATTATAACTTTAATAAAAATTAAAAAAAAAATCACAGGAAAGTCTTATCTTTGCATATGTCTTTTGTCTTCATATTGTAATTAGTTTTGCTATTATAGTGCAAGTGATCTCTGGTTTTTAGTATTTTAAGACATAGAGGGTCTAAAGTACTAAAGGTAAGGTAATAAACATGGAAACCAATGGACCGTTTGGTGTAACATTTTTGCACCACGTTTTAGAACAGAACACTTTCGGGGTTATTCACTGAACACAGAATTTTGTCCAGTGACTATGACTGAATTCACATCGTATTTGCATCTTGCAGATTTATTAAAGCCAATTCTGGTTGAAATTCAATCAGTCCAACCATATTTGAAGCAATCACTTGGATGCATAGTTACATAGCAAGCTAGGTTGGAAAAAGACTAAAGTTTAATAACTTCAAAAATTGAAACCCATACTTCTATGCTGATGATCTAAAAGAAGGCAAAAACTAAACAAAAAACCTATTGTAGCCATTTCCAATTATGCCATAAAAAGGGAAAAAATCCTTCTGGCAATCAGATTTCTCTTCGGATCAGGAACCTGCTCACATGCATAACCATTATATATTCAATATTCTGCTTTTTCAAAAAAGCATTGAGGCCAGTTTTAAAAATATCAGCCTCCTTAGGTAGATAATTCCATATCTTTAATGTTTTTACTATAAAGAGCCATTTCCTCTGTTGTAAACAAAAAAAAGCTTCTTCAATATCTCATTTTTTTTAATTTATTTTTTTAAGGGTAATAACAGAAAAGAAAAACAATAGGATCATTAGTGCACCATGCAAGCATATTTCAATGTTACAGTCCCTTATTTCCTGCTATAGAGCCGAGGTCATTCAATTACATTGTAGAGCCATTTATCTAACATTGTTTCAGCTAAATTGCATTACACAGCGGCATCAACACAATATTGTCAGATTACAGTACATTAACAATATCAACATTAGACATCCAGCATGAGTATGAGAAGCGCTTGGAAGAGACATCATCTACATCCAGGAGGTGCTTGGAGGTTAACAACACAAATTGCAGGAAAGAAATAAACATAAATAGAAATAGAGGTATAAGCATAAATACAACTTAAATAAAGGACAGAGGTAGCGTTGACCACCTATGCAGCCCTCTGTGACCCTTACTGACTGCCAGGGGGAATGGGATACTACCTATTGTAACTGTGTACTGTCTCGAGTGGCATGGGGTGGAGGCTCCATGGCTTCATCAGTTTCTGGCAACTTGATACATGGATACATGCAAAAGGATACAATTAAGTGTGTTTTGAATGGGTGCTTTTTAGCCAGCAGTCCCATATCCTATAGCAGGCTGCTTCCATCCCTCTCGCTCTGAATGCCATCTTTTCCAACTCGCTCATGGCTACCAGTCTATTTGTAACTTCCAGTATCATAGGTGGAGCTGTTCCCCTCCAATGGCCTGCAATGTTTATCTTAGCGACTAGTAACAGGTGAATGAGCACCACCTTAGTTATCCACTGAATCCAAATTTGGGATTATGTGGAGCAGATAGCATGCTGGTGTAAAGGGCAAGGTGGTTTTGGTAATTTTTTGAATAGTTTCCTCGACGTTTGACCAATAAGCCGTTAGTTTGGGACAATCTCAGAAAATGTGAATGAATGAACCCGTTCCTTCCTTGCATCTCCAACTTAGAGGGGATGTAGTACTATATACAGGAGGATTTCATCCACGAATAAGGCTATTTTTGTTCACCTATCGGGGTGGATATCATGTTCTGCATCTTAATATGTCTTACTAATGGTTCCAAGCATAATATGAACACTAGTGGGACAGGGGACATCTCTGGCGGGTACCGTTGAAGATATAAAACGTATTTTATAGAAACCCAGAGTTGAAGATTTTTGCTGATGGACCTGAGTATAAAGCCATGATACTGGTTATAAATGCAGGTGGGGTCCCCAGTTTTAACAGGGTAGCATTCATGTATTCCCAGTTCAAGCGATCAAATGCTTTTTTTGCGTCTAGAGCCAGGAGTATCCCGTGTTGATGTTTTTTTGGTGGCCCAATGTATTAGGTTGACAAAGGGTCTCGTATTTTGACCCACCTGTCTGCCTGGGACGAACCCTGTCTGCTCCACAGACACTAGCTCCTGCAACATGGGTTTAAGCCAAGATGCCAGGGGCTTGGCATATAATTTGATAACTGCATTAAGCAGGGAGATGGGATATAGGTTGGCACATTCGGAAGGGGCTTTACCTGGCCTCTAGCATCTCCATAGGCACATTCCCTGTTGCTTTGATGTGGTTGAACAGTTTTGTGAGGAGTTAGTTCGGAACATAAAGTGATGTAATAATAGTTTGAAAAGCCATCTGGGCCTGGGACTTTGTTTGGACAGTGAGAAAATTGCCCTTCTTATTTCATCTTCTGTAAATGGAGCCTTTAGCTCAGCTGCCTGTTGTATAAACAGTGTCAGTAGGCATATTTCCTCCAAGAATCTGTCTATGTTGGGGTACAGTGATATCGTCTTGTAAATTATATAGTTTAGTGTAGAACATTGCTAGCTCATTCACAATGTCAGTAAGATTGTATAATTTAGTATTTTGTGAGGAAAGTATGAAGGAGATTTTGGTTTCTAGGTATTTGGTTTTGAGCTGTTGTGCCAGCAGTTTCCCTGCTTTATTTCCCTGCATGTAGTATCTAAGATTGAGGGCCATCATTTGCCTTTCTGTGTCTTGCAGAGCCACAGCCTGCAGTGATTTACATAGTTCTTCTAATTGCTTAGTAATTAATTTAGAGGGTTTGGTTTTATTTTGGGGTCAAGGGTGTGAAGTTCCTTGAGTAGCCTCGTCTAAGTGGCGATGAGTTTCCTTTTTAATGTGGATTAGTGTACCTCCTACTACTTATGTGCGAGCCAATGGGTAGTAATTGAGGATTGGTCAGTAAGATTGTTTTGAAAATAAATTTTCACATCCTGTTTTATTGTGGGCATTGTTTGTGTGTTGTCTAGTAAGGCTTTGTTTATTCTCAATTTACCCATACCTCTAGCATGGAACAGGAACTTAACCATAACATATACGGGCGCGTGGTCAGACCACGTTTTATCCCCAATGGATACTTCCAGGATAAGCTGTAATGTGAACTTTAACACACTAGAAACAGAATAGATTTCCTGGAAAGCCAGGGAAATATATAGGTGGATTGGCGCTATATCTAAAGGTCAAGCGGTGCAACAACTCCCAAGTGCCAAAGAATCACCAAACAGCACTTTAAGCATATATCATTGATAAAAACACAGAAAAGAAATAGGGAGGTGCAATGAATAAAATAAACCAGTATTATACTTATATCAGGTGGATCTCTGAATCAACCTAAAAATAAAAAAATATACATAGCATAATACTGTAACACATTAGCAGAATTAATCGGAGGTAATGGGTCACTCACGATCTGCAGAGCCTTGGAAAGCAGGCTCTTGCTGTAAAAGCTTGTGAATAATCAGCTTATTCTGGCTATCTCCAATGATGTTTGGTAATCAGGTATTTTCTCCCACACCACGGATACAAAACCAGATGGATTTTAAAAAGTTTTTTACTTTCAAAACAACAGTAAAAAACATCTAGGAGCCTCAAAACAAGGATACATCATTGGAGATAGCCAGAATAAGCTGATTATTCACAAGCTTTTACAGCAAGAGCCTGCTTTCCAAGGCTCTGCAGATCGTGAGTGACCCATTACCTCCGATTAATTCTGCTAATGTGTTACAGTATTATGCTATGTATATTTTTTTATTTTTAGGTTGATTCAGAGATCCACCTGATATAAGTATAATACTGGTTTATTTTATTCATTGCACCTCCCTATTTCTTTTCTGTGTTTTTATGTAATGTGAACTTGTTCACGATGCACATGTCTATGCAAGTGTAGGTGAGGTGTGGAGTGGAGAAAAATGTGTATTCCCTTGCTTCAGGGTACAATGCCTGCCAAGTGTCATATAGGTCATGTGTATCCAATAATTAGATAATTGGTGGCTTTGGGTCATAGATGCAGTTGTGTTCCCTTCTAATATTTAAAGCTGGGTCTAGGGTGCTATTAGAATCCCAGCAGATGAAGATATTCCCCTGTCATATTTCAGGTATTTTTTGAAGCAATTACGTAAGAAGGAGATCTGTGAGTTATTTGGTGAGTATACGGATGCAACAGGGATCGGGGAGCCATTTAAAGAGCCTACTAGGATTAGAATAAGTTTTATATAGTTTTAGTGTTTTAATACAGGGTCTGTTTGTGTGTAATGTTTGCATTTTATTGCAGGGGTGTGTCTGAATGTAATGCTGACTTTTAAATGTGGATGTACATTTGTGTGAAGTATTTGTGTTTGAGTAAAGGTGTGTCTGTATATTTTTGGGGGATTTGAATGCAGGGGAGTGTTTGTATGTAATATTTGTGTTGGATTGCAGGAGTGTGCTTGTATGTTGTGCTGGTGTTTGACTGCTTGGATGTGTGCACATACACTACCACATACATACGTACAAACATAAACAGATATTAATGCACATTTACATACAGATACATATAAATACACCAACACATACACACAAATTCATATAGACACCGACACATACATAGATACACACGACACATATACACACATAGATATACACCAACATATACACACATGCACCCTGACACACACACACATTGATACATGCACACACCATGACACAGATACACACACTTACATAAAAACACACACCCTGACACACAGATGCACATACAGAGATGTGTGCACACACACAGACACACACACTTTTGTAGACTTTGTTAAAATACCTTCCATTTATCCTCTGGGCTTTTGCTAGTGAATAATTCCTGCCAGGCAATTTGTTAGAAATTAACTTTTTTTTAAACTAAACATTTTTGTAAAGTCCATATAATTTTTTTTTTTTTAATTTATCTCAAATGATACCATATTATGGTCATCCATTCCCCAAGTGTTCCCTACATTAAATGTTTGAAAATATGTTTGAAATGATTAGTTATTACAAGATCTATTCGGTGTTTGGATTAAAATATGTGCTTTTGCATCCAAATCCAAAACAAAATATAGGATTTTAAATATGCACAAAGCACAGAATTATCAAAATATTGAACCTAATGAATCAAGTAGCGAGTGGGCAAATAGTTATAAAAACCGCAGTGTTGCAAGGTTTTATTATGTGGTGGAGCCTGCCACCATATAATACAGTTAAAATAAATAAATGAATAAATAAATAAAAAGCCTATGGGGGTCATTAAATCCTTTACTACTTACCCTTATTTTATCTACATATACATCCACCTGCCATGCCGCCATTGTTGCCTATTCGATAAAAACACCACATTACAATGGGGTGGGACAGTTGTATAACAAGGGGGAAGGACATATTTCCCTCCCATACCCCCACTGATGGAGTGGAGAACTTTAAGTTAAGTAATGGGTGCTGGACAGAAATTTTCATTAGCCATTTCTAGCAGGTGGTGGCCATTTAATAAAATGAATGTGGGAACAACCTTACCTCCCCCTCTGCCTGCAGCCATTGGCAAGGGGTCTGGCACTATTTATAATATTTAAATGTTGAAACCTAGTTTTTCACCATTACCCCACCAAAGGGCAGCAAGTTGAGGCTCTAATTAATTAAATAATACGGGGTGAGTCCAACCCTCGAGTAATGATATGTCTCCCCTAATCCCTAAGCCCCTCCCCATAACAAATGTCCCTACCTACCATCCTTTACCCCAATAATATTAAGGGGGGGAATTAAACTAATATGGGCTAAATAAATATACTAACCCATCAGAAGACTTATTTCTTTTATTTCTTCCTTTCTTCAGCCCCATAAAATTCAAATTAAAATCCATAATAAGTGACAAAATTGATGAATATTTAAAAAAATAAAAATAAAACCATTAAAACTACAATTCAATAAAATGAATCCTTCTTTGTCCCATGAGGGCTGAATGCTCATAGTGGGAAAAGCCCTTTTAAAGGCATGAAAAACAGCTATGCAAAACAGTGAAAGTGATCTGATTGTCTTGTAAGCACAACAATCAAAGTATTTTTACAACCAAAGAATTAAACCTTGGCTGTGAGAGCACTCTGATTGGTTTGCTTACAAACCAACCAATCAGAGCCTTCTTACTCTTATTGTATAGCATGTGAAATTTTACCACACAATGTAATATCATGCATAATGTTCCCAAAAAGCAAATAGTTCAGATTATTTTTTCAAAATCTGAGCCCAGATTTAAAGCATTTAGTCCAGATTTCAGATGTCCAACTGTGTGCAGTCTGGCTGAAATATAGATTAGATTCCGGTCTGTTCTAAACAGCAATATCTCGACATTGTTGGATAGCATTAACAATTTGCCATTTTTGCAGTCCCTGTATGCCGTCTGACTTTTTTTTCCCATTTGGTACAGGACCATTCAGACATTAGTTAACAAATAAATAAAATAAAAAAATAAAATCTCACAAACTGACTTTGTTAGTAGTATCCTGATAAAATATAAGTTAAAATAACACAATATAATAATAAAATATTTAATATCCTTACATACTCCGTCATGGGTGTATATATATAATGGTATGAACCACTGATATGAACCACTGGGCCTTAGTACAAGAATAAAAAAGGACCCTCTTGTCTCTCCCCAACAAGCAATACATTTGAGTGAGTGAGATGGCTCAGTGTGATTGTTGTCAGTGGCAAAACTTATAAACACATGGTTTTGTGCAAACGTTCCTTACATTTCTTACTTAAATCATACAAAAATATTATAGGCAAATATACAGACACACAATAATGCAGGAAACAGCAAATACAGGGTGGGCTAAGTAGAACAACGAGAGATAATATACACAGAAAGAAGGAAGTACAAAAAGTCTCTGAAAATGCAATGTGGACCTTGGATAGGTATTCTTTGGTTCTTGATTTGGGTCTTCAGTAGTTAATATGAAATACAAAAGCAGAAACAGTAAGGGACCAATAGTGCAAAACCGTTAGGAAATGGTGTCACGGACAACATAGAAATAGAGAAGTGCCAACTCACAATATACAGCTCTAGGTAAAACAGCATACAGTGGTATCCTGCTTCCAGTGGGTGAACCTCTCTTTCCCCAGAGAGCAGGAACAGGAACAAGCTCTTAGCAGAACTTAGTGATCATACCCTGGGGAGTATAGTGATTATAGCAATCCCCAGAGTGTATTTCTCCAATCCCCCAAACATGAGCCAAGGCTTAATGCTGGAACAAGACTGATTTACTGGCACACAGAACTCACAATTTATGCAACACAAAACTCCTCCTCTGGGCCAGGCTAGATAATTGAGTTTCTACAATACACAAAGCTCAATTATCTGCTGGCCAGAAATAATACAGTTTCATAAAACACACAGGGACCCCAAAACATGCAATAACCCCATAAAAATCCTTGGAACCGGGGGATCTGGGTGAACCACATATCCAAAATTCACCCAGATCCGTTCAGTACTTTGGAAAATACAGTTTAATGCAGATTCTGCAGAACATATACAGGCTAAATGAAAAACAATCACTGTATAATGTGTCCCCTGCTGTATAGTCCAAAACCACCGCACGATTTCTCTGTGCACCAAATACTGGCGAGATGGCACCATGTTGAAAAGTCCAAACAGTGTCTGTGAGTTAAAATGGCCGCCATCCATTGTTCTCACCATGTACTTCTGATACAGAAAATGGTGGCCACCCAGTAACTCCACAGTATGTCCCCAGATGGTTCTTAAAGGGCCAGCAGCAGCACAACACAAATCCATTATGCCCAAATCATGTCTTTAAAGGGCAATACATCCCAGGGGCCATAGTCACAGGGCAAGAGGTGGGCAAGCAGTCCTCTCCAGGCACAATTGGCGAAGGGCACTTCGTCACAACCTACAACTTCAACCAAACACTGAGGTCCCAAGAGTGCCAACTTACAATTGAGAGAGCTATCACCAGCTCTGAGTAAAACAGCATACAGTGGTATTTAAAATCTGCACATGTAGGGTATCCTTCTAGCGATATTTGCAATGCAGGACTTATGAAAAAAAAACACAAAAGAGGGCCCTTAGTGTTCTCAGTAGATAAAATAGAAGTAAAAATAGAAGTAAAAGGTCAAATGAAATGTACTTTGCTCTATGAACCAGGTGTGAGTGGAATAATGCCCACCTATGATTTCTTTTGTAGTACTGGATCTTTAGAATAATAAAAAATCAGCCAGGATAAAACAGAAACAAATAAAAGTAAGAGGACTAACCACGGGCAGATAGGTAGTTTAAAAATACTTTCATTTTAACAAAATCATAACAAACACAACGCGTTTCACCACAAATAGGCCTTTTCAAGTGTAGACAAATAATCCTGGCTAGTTACATTATATAGGTAACTAAAATGGCATGAAATTTGAATGTTGGCGCCAAAATGACTTCATTACCATGTGACCGCGGTCACATGATTATTCTTTATACATAAATACAACAGATACATAAAAAAAGTAAATAATGATCGTTTTACATTTACTGCTACATAGGATAGTTCAGATCCCATGTAGAACCTATATTTAATGCTTTAAGTTTACGTTTACTGTGACTGAAAGGAGAAGTAAAAAGAGAGATGTGGGGGTGAAAGGTCGCAAGATCGCGGGCGTTTGATAATTAGTGTGAATGGAGAAAGAGCTTAGGGGATGAGGTGTAGGAGTGGGAGGGGAATATTAGAAGAGGAGTGAGTGAAACCGGCAATTGCCGTAAGCGCCGCAAGGCAGGATGGGAAATGTAGTGCTGATCACGTCCAAAATACAGGATGTGATCAGGAAGGGGGCAGTCCTCACGGCCGAAATTAGAGGCAAATAGATACTAAATGAAAGTGAGTAGAATCACTCATAAAAGAGTGAAATGACATGAGGAGAGATTATTGTTTGCAAATACAATAGTGTTCTGTATAGAATATTAACGTAGTGGCCATCTTGGGCAACGTGAGGGAGGGGAGTAGAAAGTTATAAGTGAATATATAGTTCCTTTTAAGAAGGGACAAGGACAAGTTTTAAAGTGACAGGCATATAAGTAATGGATAGTAGCATATTTATAAAGGACAAACTTATGTGTCAAGTAAGCATTTAAACCTATAAAGTGTAACATACATACACATACATAAGCTATATGGTTTGATGGTATTTTTTAGGAAAACAGGTTTGAATGTTAAAATATAGTCAGAAAATAATGAGTTATGAAAAGTTAAAAACAATATAAGAAAATTAAACTCAATGAATTAATACCTTCTGGGACTAATGGATATAAATTAAATTAAAAACCCACTTCATCTCTTTATTTCCTAAAATACTTTTCATGGAGTTTGTACATAATTGGATGATTGTAAATTTTAAAACACATGGGTTCTTCTGATGATATGGAGGCGTAGATGGAAATAGGAGAAGTACATAGCAAAATAAAAGGGGGTGGTCAGTAAATGCTATAAAATATTAATTAATAATGTTAGTTTACAAAAAATTAAAAAGGTCAAAATCTGCATTTAGACCTTCAGGAGTAAGTGTCTTAAGATTGAAAACCCATTCCATTTCAGATTTTCCCTCTCCATGGGATTGTACATATTTGGATTGGTGTGAATTTAAGGACATTTGTTTTTTTTTGATGATGTGTTAAAACGTGCTTAGATACCGTATGGTTCTCAAACCCATTCCTAATGTTGCGACAATGTTCGGATATCCTATTTTTTAGATTTCTGGACGTCATGCCCACATACTGGAGGCCACAAGGTCACTCCAGTAGATATATGACATTTTTAATGCAGCATGTGATAAAATGTTTTATATTATAACTTTTATTTGTAATGTTTGATTTGAATTCAGTGGTCTTATTTGGAACTGACATTTGAGTAGTTTTGCAGACGATACATTTTCTGCATTTAAAAAAAGCTTTAACATTGGATAAAGTGGATGGTTTGATTAACTTGGATTATTAAGAACAGGGTCTTCTGATAAAATGTGCCAGTGTTTTTGAATAGTTTTTCTTATGTCTCTATTTTTGTTATTGTAGTCACACAATAATGCAGGCATAAAGGCATGACAACAGAGATATTCAGACACACAATCATACACACACAGACATCCAGGCACACAATCAAACAGACACAGAGATGCAGGCACCGTCATACTGATATAGACTTACACGCAAAAAAACATACTGGCACAAGCACACAGTTATACAAGCACATAGCCATTCAGTTACAATAACATACAGGTACACAATCAAACAAACACAGACAGATGGACACAGGGCAGACAGTCATATAAACACAGACATACAGGCATGAAAACATACGTGCACACAGTCTAGAAGAAATACATAGACCTAAAAGAAGTAAAACAAAATAAAGACTCAGGAACAGAGTCACACAGACACACACATACAGTCAAACAGACACAGTAACAATGTAATACAGACATAGGCACAAAGTCACACATATATTCACAAATACATACTTATCTGGTCTGATGTGCAATCTTTGAGGTCCACTGCTTCCTTTTTATCTGTAGAATCCTGTATAGGGGTAAAGCCAGGAGCTGGATTTTTCATTTTGCCACTCAATCTCATGCCAATTCACAGAGAGTGCTGTTTTCAGGCAACGGAGAGGTGTTGCAGCTTAGGCCACTCTACTTGGTAAGTGGGGGGGGGGACCTGACAACAGAATGCCAAACAAAGAATTCTTCAAACTCCCCAGCCAGACATTAAATGCAACGGGGAGGGAGGGGAAGAGTCTTGTGGGATTATTTATTATTTACTAAACACAGGACGGACAAAATTATGTAGAAATTACCACATTCAGTTGGCCCTAGGGAATCTGTAGCAATTGGCCGGATGCATCTGGTGTCTGGTTTAAAACAGGTGCTTTCGCATCTAAATCCTGTACAACATTTGCAAAGCACCGGTTTTAATAAAATTCGGGAACAAATGTATCTGTCAGTGTGCACATTCACAAATTATTGTTCACTTGCTTTCAAACAAGCGAATAATCATTTCAAAAATGACTTACCCTCTGGTAGAACTAGCAGTTTGCTGACCAGCAACCACATTACTAGTGAAAAGTAAGTTAATTAATATATAAAAAGTTTATGTTGTCAATAAGGGGTTAACATCTCCTTATACCCCCACCTAACATGCCGCAGGTGGGCTAAGTGACTAAGCCAAGTGACTGCTGAGATTGACATACCAATATTTGGGTGGTGGCCCTTTATGTCCACACATTTAAATATCATAATAAGAGCACTCACCCACCATCAGTGGGTGGGGGTTTGAGGAAGGACATTAATTCCTCCCCCCTTTAATATTAATATTATGGCCTCCACCAGCTGACAATGAGTGTGTTTTTCAAGAGTGGACCCTAGGTCTTTTGCCTGAATTTTATAATAGGCCTGTTCGGTTCGGCATTTCCAAAACTTGTGACTTTGGCAATTCGCCACTTCGGGAATTCCCTAACCCTATCCCTTACCCTACCTCTAAACCTAACCCTACCCCTACCCATAACCCTACGTCTACCCCTAACACTACGTCTACCCCTAACCCTAAAGGTTGGGTTAGAGGTAGGATTAGGGTTAGGGGTTAGGGTAGGGTTAGGATTAGTGGTAGGATTAGGGTTAGGGGTAGAGTTAGGGGTTGGGTTAGGGATAGGTTTAGGGGTAGGGTTAGGGTTAGAGAAAGGTTGGGGTTAGGGGTAGGTTAGGGGTAGGGTTAGGGGTAGGGTAAGGGTTGGGGTTAGGTTCCTGTCATCATTCCCTTAATTTTCCCTCCCTCTCCTGTTTTGCCACTTTTCAGAAATCCAAAGTACTTCGGCACTTCCGAAATTCTGTACTTTGGCAATTCGGGACTTCGGCAATTGGCACTTCGGAAATTAGGCACTTTGGCAATTCGGACATTAGGAAACGTCCGAATGTCCGAATTGCCGAAATTCATCCAAATTTAAATTCGAACCCAAAACGAATTGCACATGTCTTTGAAACACTAATATTGTGTTCAGCGAAGTCTTCCAAGTATAACAGTACCCCCCATGTACAGGTTTTATAGTGTTTTTGAAAGTTACAGGGTCAAATATAAGGCTTGATTTTCTGTTTTTTCACATTGAAATTTGCCAGATTGGTTATGTTACCTTTGAGAGCGTAGGAATGAGAATTACCCCCATGATGGCATACCATTTGCAAAAGAAGACAACCCAAGGTATTGCAAATGGGGTATGTTCAGTCTTTATTAGTAGCCACTTAGTCACAAACACTGGTCAAAGTTAGCATGTATATTTGTTTGTGTGTTAAAAATGCAAAAACAATTATAAAACACTAACTTTGGCCAGTGTTTGTGACAAAGTGGCTACTAAAAAAGACTGGACATACTCCATATTGAATACCATGGGTTGTCTACTTTAAAAAGATATGTACATGTGAGGTGTGATTCACAGATTTATGACAGATAACAGTGTTACAATGTCACTATTGATACATTTTAAATATAAATAAAATATATATTTTGAAAAAGCAATGTACTACTTCTACCTATAGCCCTATAACTTGCAAAAAATAAAATAAAAACATGTTCCATTGGGTATTTCTAAGCTCAGGTCAAAATTTAGAAACTATTTAGCATGGGTGTTTTTTGGCAGTTGTGAATGCATAGCAAATTTTGCGGGTCAAAGTTCGAAAATGCGTGTTTGTTTTAAATTTTTTCAGAATATTTTATTATTATTTTTATAGTAAATTATATGATATGATGAAAATAATGGTATCTTAAGAAAGACCATTTCATGACGAGAAAAACTGTATATAATATATGTGGGTACAGTGAATGAGTAAGACGAAAATTACAGCTAAACACAAACAGCCCTGGTCCTTAACGGTAAGAAAATTTTAAAACAGTCTGGTCACTAAGGGGTTAATAATATGGCTTTTATCACAAAAATGTATTTTGGTTACACAGGGGAAAATGTAAATTACTTGAAAGGGATCATTAATGAGGCAATTATAATGGGGATTTATTTCAGTGCCTCCTTTTCTTTGATATGTCTAATCATTGTAGGATCTTTAATTTGAATCAATAACTAATACATTTAGAGATAACAGAGAAGCTCCACATGTGGTTTTCACAGTTACCTGTTAAGCAGCTGCTATTATTTCCTTTTGTATCTTGATGAGTTCTCATACTTTTTTTTTAGCTTGCTGCCAATCCTATGTGTACTTGAAGTTAATTTCAAATATACACTCTTATATAAGCACACATTTCAAAATACATATATATGTAATATGTGAAAATACATATAATGTTACCTTAAATGCACACAGGGCAACTACAAGAGCTAGGACTGTAGTTTGAGGTACAAGATAAAAATTTTTTTTAGACAGGGTGAGAGGGCATACCTTTGCTCCTGTGTATTATATATTTAAGGGATTGGTTGCACCCTTGCCATTTATAAACTTGAATAAACTGTCTAGACTGAATTTCAAATGGTAAAGTATCTTCATGTATATTCAGCCTAGTTATTATGATGAATGTATGTAACAATATTTACCATCTTAAAAATTACATGAGTTTTTGGGTTAATATTGATAGAAAGGCAAAAAAAAATCTATCTATCTAACTATCTATCGATCTATCTATCTATCTATCTATCTTCTCTTTTCCATTTTTCAGTTTGGGTTTTGTTATCCTATTCACATTGTTAATGCAGAATATAAGTAGAAATATAGACAAATGATAGACAGATTATTTATTTTTATTTTTTGTTATTTAATCATTATTTTTTTTTATTTTTTTAAACACCCTCTGTTATCATTAAAGAGATATTCTTCTGGTTGGGATATTTTTACAGAAAGTTTGGTATCAAGAAGTTACAGTATATTCATATGAAAAAAAAGATCAAGGATAGATTTCCTGAAATTTATTTATTAGATGCCGGACTTACCCTTTCTAGCGTGTTCCAAAAATGATGTATTTTATGATGTGCTTCAAATCAGATGAGACAAGTTGAAAACATGAGTAGTTGAATATCCTTGAGTATCTGATGGGCTTGGGGTTTCCAATGATATTAAACTGAATTATTATGATTAGAACATATAGAATGTGAAAAGAAATACATGATAAAACAGGACCTAAATTTGAAATATAACTCTGAGAACATTTGGAGGAAAGTTTTATCAGAGATACTAAATTTATATGTATGAATGGCTTGATAGATGAAGTATTTTCATGTTAGAAAGATTATCTTGCAAATTAAGCTACAAACAAAGAATTCTACTAATTCTAACTTTTGACATAGAAATGCCCTTTGAAAATATATGATCAACAAATGCCATATGAAGAACATGCCCTTAAAATACAATTTTGAAAGATAATGTATTCGTAGATTGGTTTGAAAGACTACATTATTATAGTAGGTAGCTATTAATAATGTTTCACATTTACAGATTTATTGACATTGTTATTCAGTCAGTTAAGACTTTGAACCTATTTAGAGAGTTAAAATATATTATTTGTATTAATTTACATGTATATTGAATACTGGTCAAGGTTAGTGTGCCGATTTCTAATAAACATGGGCAATGGATGAAATGTCTATATTAATGTTATCCTTTCTAATACAAGGTCACATTGATTTAATCATCTTCTTCCATCTCCATTGCACCCTCATTTACATGTCATTACCTTGTCTGAAGACCTTTAATATTCACTATAATAGATGTCTTCTTCTAATATGATGGAAAACCCCGAAAGAGTAGGTCACCATATATAAAAGTCTCATAACTTGTCTCTTGTCTTACTTTATAGTTTAATTATTGTAACATGCTTATGAAGATTTATTGCATCAACAAAAGGTCTTTTCTCTCACTGCAAGATAAGAGGCTGTGTCACCCTTTGTATTTTAATCAAATACTATCACGCTATCAAATATTTTATTTACTATAATACCTGATGGTAAAAGAAAAAATTGATTTGAGATTTTTTTCTGTTTGTTTCAGGCATCTCATTTAATCCTATCACCCTAGAGACAATGGGAAAAAGTGCTGAAATATTCCATTACTTGAGACCCAAATATTTAAAGATTTATTCATTCAACAATCCTTATATTGTGCCCTTGTGCAGACCACTTTACATAGTTCAATTGAGTATGACTATAGTTAAAGGACATTGAAGTTACGGAATTACAAATTAGAGAACAGTTACAATAAATTAAAGAGCATGCAAAGAATAACAAATATTATATTCATTAAATTATTAAACAACAAAGTTACATTGAACAAGAGAATAGTATATATTAATATTCATTATATTTGTGGAGCTTACATCATTGGAAAAAAAGATGAAAGAAAAAGATTTTGTTACAAACATACTAATTACCAAAAGAAAATACAAATCTAATTTCTTGTATAAGATGACCAAATATTGCAAAATGCAGACCCATATCAGAAAATTGCAATATTAGTAATGGTGGGATCATTGAGTACTTTGATTAGTTGTAAAAAAAGTACATAAAGTGTATTCACCAGTCTAAAGACAAAAAAAAAAAAAAGAATAAGACCAAATTCAATCAAATATTAGAAGAAAAAGATGAGATGATATTTTCTATGAATCTATATCTAAATCTATCATTAACTATGATGACCTGTGTTCTTCATTCTGACAGAAAACATTCAGTCTAACTGTGCATTTGGTAACTAAGTACACAATCTATTAACATTAGAAGACCAAATATTTTGAGCAAGGTATTACTTTTATTATTCTTATAATAGTGATTAATTTGAATTAAGTAGGACAGGTGATAAACATGAAACTGTCATGACAGGTTCCCTTTTTTATCACAACTCTCAATGCAATCAATGTGTCGATTAACTTATTATTGTCATGTGATACGTATTATATTTCTATGCTTTAGGAGCAGATAGAGTGGTACTCAACTGCTTATCCTTACTCCAGTTCTGGCATTACTGGCATTATCTGTTTATTCCTGTTAGTCAATCCTCTGATTAAATTACAATCTATACATTTGCTGTCATTCTGCTAGTAAAATGCATATATTATTTATTTTGGTAAGCATGTTTACATTACTGTAGGGTTAAATGGATTTCCAAATAACGTGCAAGAAACGGGTTTGAACTCCACATTTTTATGTATGAAACTCTTTTTAATTTAACTTAATTTCAAAGGGACATTATAATTACCAGAACAACTACAGCTTATTGAATTTGTTCTGGTGAGTATAATCATTCCCTTCAGGCTTTTTGCAGTAAACACTGTCTTTTTCAGAGAAAATGCAATGTTTACATTACAGTCTAGCAATAACTCCAATGGCCACTGCTCAGATAGCTACTAGAGGTAATTCCTGGGGCAGTGCTGCACAGTATGCTGCAATGACATTCAGTGTCTCCACTCTCTGCATGAAGACACTGAACTTTCCTTATAGAGATTCATTGTTGCGATCCAACTCTATGAGGAGATGCAGATTGGCCAGGGCTGTGTTTAGCTTGTGCTGGCTTTCCCCCAATCAGCCTCCTTGACAGTCTCAGCCAAACCTATGGGAAAGCAATGTGATTGGCTCAGAGAATCCCTTTTGATAATGTCAACCAAGTAGGTAGATCAGGAGCAGAAGCAACAGCTGCAGACTTGAATACAAGTAAGATTTTTCTATATTTAGGGAGGCAAGGGGTGGGGGGGGCTAGGTGGTGTTTTTAACACTATAGTGTCAGGGATACATGTTTATATTCCTGATCCTATAGTATTCCTTTAATTGTGTGTTTGTATATTTTCTTTTTTTTCTTCCGCAGTCACTTCAACATTTTTTAGTAAATATTTCTAATCACCAAATTTAGACCACAGTTTAATATTTTTAAGTAAACTTTGAAGATGATTTAATATATTGGACTGAACTTTTACAATTGTGTTTTCAAAGTATTACAATTTGAAAAAAATATTATATTAAAATATCAATATATTTAAAAATACAAATATTAAAATATTTCAAAATATTGTATCATATCAAAATGTATCCACAAATATTAAATTGAGGCCTTAATTAGCTATTTGTTATGTTCTACTTTTAAAAATATTTCTTTAATGGGCAAGATTCACTAGTATTTTATTCTTTCATTTTTTTGGTCATTATACCTTTAAGAATAGCTATTTACTGTGCTCCCCTAGTATCTACTCTGGTTTATATAGCTTTCATATATATCTGTAACTATACACAAATAGAGGAGGGAGCAGTGCCTTAAAATCCTCAAATTAAAGTAAGTGTGCAATGAGACAAAAAGATCTTCCGACAGTTATTAAGAGTAGTATGCCAAATTTAAGTCAGAGATAAAAAACAATAGAGGAGATATGCTTACAGTGGATAGATCTATCAGTTAGCTCTACTTCTGTTCACCTGGGTGGTATATTACCCACCTAAGGATATGTAGTGTTTCTCTGGGTCCAGTGATGGAGGAATATAAGTCAAATATAGTGTAGTATATCTGGTGTTGAAAGTAGGAAATGTGGAGACTCCTAGTGGCTCCCAGAAAACACCATAAAGTGGTATAACCTCCACTCTTGAATATGTTAAGTAGCTGAGGTTCTCATGATGATATATGTGAATACAAAAAGAAATAAAGACTCACAGTAATATAGAAGGTATAAAATAAATGTAAAAGATACTCACTAGTGCAGAGCAAAATATACCACATAGGTGGTATATTCCCCATCAAGAAAACTAGAGTCCAAAGGAGATAAAACAAATTAATAACACTAACGTTTTTCACCTATAACAAGACTTTTACAAATAGTTACAGGTTCCCGGATACAAACTATTTAAACAGGGAGCACAAATTAAAATGTTGCCATATTAAAATTATTCCAATTAGCATAATTATACATTAAAACTATTTTTTTTAAATTGTTTACATTTTTTATTTTTGTTGTGCATAGATAACATTCTGTCTTATGCTGCCACAATAACAGGAGAAAGAGCAGCAAAACATAGTATAACAGTGTGGCAACAGAGATAACTGCACATTTTTAGATATATATCCAAGAGGTAACATCACATTGTGTATGTCAGTGTACGTGAAGTAGATAGCGAGCTAAGGTAAAATTATGTTACCTGACAACATGCAAGGTATATGAGGTGTACAACATGTTAATTGAAGTTTTCTTGGTGTGAGTATATAGAGACATTTAGCATGTTAGGTTAGGAGTGAGTTGAGCTAGGATAGAAAAGAATGCATTACAACATGCTGGCTAAGGGGAAGGATTGTTATAGTGCCACTGGGTTCTCGGCTTTGTGGAAGGGTAAAGGAGAGGGTTCTTAAGCGTGTACATACAAAGTTTTGCAATGATGTTGGTAGAGATGTCTTGGAAGCCAGTCATCTAGATTTCAACCGACGCCGGTAATGTGCCTCAGGAGACAGTTCAGGATTCTGCCAGGTATGTCACCATCAGTTGCTTCTCGGTGGGGCTCATCATCTTGCTGAGGTTTGGAAGCCAGGTAGGGGTTGCAGCAATGGAGCTTGGATCTCTCTGGCTACTGTGCGCCAGGAGTGGCCCTCACTGCTTTTACTGGTCTCTGTGTCTCAGGGCTGCCAGCGAGAGGTAACTTCAGGTTGTGGGGGAGCATTAGGCTGCATAGTCGGTTGGTAGGTATAACTTTCTTGCGGGTCCCCAGCCCAGAATGTCGCCGTTCCCTCTGGGAACGTGGGTTACTGGTTCCACAGGCAGAGCGGTGGTAGGGGTTCTATGTCTAATGCGCTCCCAAAAGGCTTGACAAACACCGTATTTTTTATGTTTGACTTATATTATTAGTTTCTAGGCACCAGTGTTTTTTTTTTTCCTCTTGACTACAAAGTATTCAGTATTTATTCTATGCCAGTGGATTTACTATTGTCTTCACTAGTCTGTTACTCGAGGCATGTATTTGCCTATTTCTAACTGTCAGAATTTGAACCCGGGTACTTTGCAGTCCTGGGGCTGCTATGTTACCTCTGAGCCACCATTCAGCTTTAGTAATGCCAGTATCCAGCTCTGTCTTGTATCCAGCACTGGGGGCTGGACATGAATTGGAATTACTCCTGTTACTCATGATACACCTGATATTGATGGTCTCATTAGCCAGGTATAAAACACTGCCTCTCCCAGAAGGCAGTGTCAGTTCCTTGACTGTGGTTCCGTATTGCTGTTTGTGTTCCAGTGTGCTCCTGTTGATTCCTGACCTTGGCTTGTTACTCCGTATATCCTGACTTCTGGCATCCTCTGACCTTGGCTTTCTTCTCGTTAATACTGATATCTGGCACCCTCTGACCTCTGGCTTACCCACGACGATTCTCCTGCATTATCCGTTCCTGTACTGCGACTTGGAGAATTATCCTGCACAACCCCCGTGCACCGACTCACAGGCCAGGTGAATTCTGACCACCTCGGCCTGTGTTTACTTGCAAGGGTGAGCATTTATCTCTACTTGCCAGACTCCCAACTCAGGTAAGCCCTGACACTAACTAAGTCTAGTGTTTCTCTAAATGTGTCTCCTCGTTGGTTCTATCTACCTAGACAAGTATATTAAGCCTGTATGTTCCTTTTCAAAACAAAAAAAAAGCGCAGCATGTCTTCTTCCTATAAGTTGTTATTATATCATATGTTACTTGTCAACTGTCATTAAATACGCATAAAAAAAAAAGAAAATCAAATACTGTAAAAAACAAATGAGGGCTATATAGTGGAAATTAACTTGCAGATCAAACAAAATGGTGACGATGCCAGGTCCCAAGTCATATGACTTACTAGAATCCGTGGTTGGCCAACAAATAAAATAAAAATCCTGGAAGCATAGTGTAATCAAAACTGCTTAAGGGTTGGGGGGTAGAAATGAGGGACATAAAATAGAGAGCCAGCTAAAAGAAAATATAATCTAAGTGCCAAAGAGATGTGCTGGAGCTGGTCCCAAGTCTTATGACTCTCTAAGGGAGGTGACTCTGTATTTTTAAAGAGATTTAAAGAGATATGCCAGTTAGCAAAAGTATAAAATAATACGATAAATAATTGGAAAAATATAATATATATATATATAATTATAAACATAATAAAACAACAACAAAAAAGAGTACAGTGCAAAAACATATATATCTGGGATCCCAGATTTACTCCGTCAAGTGTGCATAATTTTAATTGAATTTATGGAGTGTCTCATAGATAATTATTATATATACATAAAGAGAATGGTATATAGTTGTTGTACATGAAAGGTAAACAGAGATATACACTCATAGAATAGTATAGTAATAAAAAGTTCATCAAAAATAGTCTCTTTAGGTAGTGAACTCACAAAAATTATAAAATTAAAAAAAAAGTATATTGTAACTTTTCTGGGACTGATTGGATTTGAATTTGAAAATGTGTGTATTGCTTTTGCTTGTATTTTTACATGCTGTGCAAGATTAACATTTAGAAAATATTTTGTGGTCTAAAAATGTGTTGGGCTGAGTAGTTTTTCTTTTGGTGTAGTTTTAGTCAGGCATACTATTAAGTTTGTGGTGTATCTGAAAATAATTTTTGGTTTGTTTGGTAAAATATCTTTCAGTGTGTCGTCTTCTTATGAAATGTCCCTATGCTAATTAATATTTTATTTCATTACTTTTGTTGGTGAAATCTAATATGATAGGTGCTGTTGTCAAGTTGTCAATCTTTTTAGCACTATATATTTTCTTGATAAAATTCCTTTTTTTTCAGTAAAAACCTAAAAACTTCAGGGTTAGTAGTTCAGTTCCGTTTCAGTCAAATCAGCTGGCTATTTAGGATATCATTAAGCCATGGAGAATAATGTTTGTGCTTTCAATAAAGGTTATGGCAGGTTTTTTTTTTTGTTATATCTTTTTTTTTGTTAGTGTTTAAAATGTTATTTTCAAAGTAAATTTTCAAATTAAAAAATGAATACTAGTTTTACTAAAACTAGAGCAATATTTTATTCCCTGATTATTATATTTTAAAAGATTTAAAAATTATTAAGATTTATATCTGAGCCATTCCAACTAAAAAATAAATCATCAATGTATTGACAGTATAGGACCAAGTTCTCCTCCAAATGATGATGGGGTAATAAGTGTAATCTTCCCAGTCCACCATAAATAAATTGGTGTAACTGGGAGCAAACCTGGCACCTATAGCTGTGACCTGCTTTTGTAGATGTTGGAGTCATAAAACCAAATATATTTATTTTATAAAATCATGTTAATTCTCTATAGATTTGGGAGAATGGTGTAAAGGGATTGGACATCACTAGTAACTAAAATGTAATTAGGTTTCCATTTAAATTAATTTAAAAATTGCAGGAGACTCATATTCCAAGCATATGGCTGGAGGAGGATATCTATGTGTTCAGATAAATTAGATAAAATCAAGTTAATACTTGAAACAATAGGATTGCTGGTGGATTTTTGCAATTTTTGTGAGTTTTGGACAGAAATAAATGACAGTAATACTTGAATTTATAATATTAATACATGTATATTTTGTTTGTTTAAAATACGTTCATCTTTACCTTATTATACAAGCTTTGTTTTTAATCTGGGGGTGGAGGTCAGATAGAAGTTTAATATAAAAATTGTTGTCAGTGGGATGTTTATAAGCTTCTTCCATGTACATCTCTACAGGTAGGATGACTTCTTAAGTCTGTAGTGACTAATTTTTCAAATGTTTCTAGACAAACAGATTTATAAATAAAGGGGTAAAAAGCAGATTTTGTACATTGGATATTGTATTTTGGATAATCTTTGACAAGTCTTGGCAAGGCAAATGCTCTGGGCAACTGCCTGCTTCTTGAGTTTAGATCAGTGGAGCTTAAAATGACATTGTAGTCACTATAACAATTTAAGTTCTTTGAATTGGTTATAGCAGCTAGAGCCATCTTGCACAGTTTAAATAAGAGTTCCTGGCCCAAGTGGAGGTATGGCAAGGGCAGAGAATGCACACTTCCTGGTGAGTCTGCAGCAATGAGAGATGTCAGCTGACATCTACCGATTGCTGCACAAGCTAATAATTAATCATTAGTCAAACCAGCACAGAGAGGATAAGCTGCTGAGGTCTCTTGTTTAACATTAATATAAAAACATTAAAAACTGTTTATTTCTGAATAAAAGCAACTCCAGACAACTCCAGACACTATAACCAGTTAAATAAGATAAAGCAGATTCAATGCCTAGAATGTCCCTTTAACTAGCAGAAAGTATCAGGACTGGCTGTCCAACTGCCAATAGGGTGAGTTGTAACAAGTTTCTGTTGAAAATAACACTTTTATCAGATGAAAAAGAAAGGACATACTCTTCACACATAAAGCACTTCAGCAAGCTGGATTGTTTTTTGTGTCTTTGGATTGTTCTTTTAACTCTCAATTACTTAACCGTTACTCTTAGTCTTACTCCTAGTTCCTGTTCTTTTTCTAACTTATTAACCTAGGAATAAGTCCACTTAGTAGCACAAAACTCATCAGGATATGTAAGCCAGGGTTGCTACAAGTGCCCCTTTTGAGGTGCTTTGTTAAGCTTTTAATTCTATCTTTAGAGGTGGGCACAACTAATGTTGGCATTATTTACCATGTCAACCAACATGCTAACTTGCCTTGCTGTAATGTATGGCCAAGTTGTGTGTGCCATAATAAGCAGTGTTTTTAAAAAAAATAAATACAAATTAGTTCTTTATTTTTGTAGTGCAGTGCAAGTAACACAGAATGAAGACATATGAGCAGATTGCATGAAAACTGTGTTAGCAAGAGGTCACAGAAAATGTCTGAGGAACAGCACAATTTTATAAGTTAACAGTTATATATCAGAATAACAAAGAAAACAGAGCATGGTAGAAATTGTGAACTAGAGTGAATCAAAAGGATATGGAATGCATGCTAGCATTAAAGACAATATAAGCTGCATGCTAATGGGTGATAAAAGTGACAGTATTGCATGGGAGTAAAGTCAGCGGGTGCCAGATAAATAAGCCAGGAGAGCATCTTCCTGTCAACCTATGCCCTCCCTGTAAACTGCACAGTCCAACGTAGTGGTGACATGCCAATTAGACTGGTACTTGAGCAGGAAAAGTTGTCAGATTTCAGTGAGAGTGAGCTTAAAGGTGGTTGTACTGGCATCTTAGGCAAGCCCTGTAAAGGTGCCTGGCGTGTATATGGCCCCTGCACTCCCCGGCGGGAACAGGTAGAACTCTGGCTTCTAGTACTCCTCCGTTTACAATAACGCAGTATCTGCTGCTCTCGCCTTTTGGATACAAGCAGATATGGTGCCCTCTTGTGGGTATCAACACCCTTGATGTGAGAAGCAGTTTGTCAAGTGGATTAAGCCAAGGCAGGTGCCTAGGCGACAGGCTATTCAAGACCATAACTCAGCAAACAGTTCATCTTAGTGATCCAGGATGGAGTGTCTCAGAGCTCGAGGCTCAAGGTTGCCTGTGGCATCCATCAAATGGTTGCAGCTTGTGGGATGGTTGCTTGTAAATAGTCACTGACACACAGCTAGTGAATATCAGGATATCCCTCACCGGTAAGGGGGGTGGGGGGGGCGAAGGGTGACCTGGTGAGAGTTGATATGAAGCAGGTAGAGGGATCGGCCACCTCCCTACCAACGGCTGTGAGTAGGCTTCTTGTAGGACGCAGGTCTTTCCGCCAATCTCAATCTGGTATTCAGTGATGTCGATCACTGTGGGATCCTCAGTCTCCAGGATATGTAAATTGCTGGGAATCTGCTAAAAGTAGTGACATAAATGGATTATTTAGAGTTTTCCAGTGGAGCTCTCAGTATTTGTGACTGAGCAGCATGGCTGGCAGGCTCCGCCCCCCATAATAAGCAGTGTTAACTGGTCCATAGAAGCTTTTGATGCAGAGTGCCCGCTCCAGTATTTGTTTAAAAAATTATAATCAGATCTATTGACATGGTAAAAATTAATGATAAAAATGTATTTGAAAATAAACAGTTTGTTTTGTTCATGATTATATCTGCAGTTTACATTACCCTTTGTTATTGATTACTGGAGATACTGCTGAGAGGCTAAGCAACTACTCTTGTCAAAATGTTGTAACATTTAAAAAAGCAAAAACAAATGCACATTTGTCTAGATTCCTCAGAAATGCTTAGTCTCCTCAAACAGATTTTCTGACATTGACTATTAGTCCCTTAAGGACACATGATGAAAATATTCCGTCATGATTCCCTTTTATTTCAGAAGTTGTGTATTTAAGGGGTTAACTTCCATAAAGCTGTCAGGCCCCGAATGCTACAAAAGGATGATGGTTTAAGCCTTCAGTAGCACAATGGAGTAGGTACCTGGGATACTCTTTTGTAGGTGCTGCCATTCATGTGTAAAGTGAGATTCAATGGGAATTCAATGAACATTTAAAGTAAATTTTGAATTTAAGACCTTAATAGCATAACTGAAAACAGAATTTTTCTAATCCTGCTACTCTAATTCAGTCTAAATTTAGAAATTCACTTTAAATTCACTTTAAATTCCTAGCAATTCTCTCTTTAGTGAACAGTATTCCCTTGCAGCATCTATTTTTTATGTGTTTTGAAACAAAATTATTTGTATTGCTTGCTTTTGATTAAGTTTTTAGTGGAGTATTTGAAACTGAACTGAAGCTCTTTTTTCTTCTCTTTCACTCGAACATTCAAAAAACGCAAAAATACTTTTGATCTCCGACAGGTATTTTCCTAACAGCCATCTGAGGACTTTTGTGTTCCCCTAGTTGGTATTCTATTAGCTATGGCTCCAGGTCATAGTGCTAAACTATAGATCATTTCGTATGGAAAAATCCCCAATATATTTACTGTGTGTGTGTGTGTGTGTGTGTGTGTGTGTGTGTGTGTGTGTATATATATATATATATATATATATATATATATATACACAAAAATAAAGAGATGCACTTTGAGGACTAAATAATTATACCTAGTAGAGAGCACTCTGAAGTCTTGGTAAAGTAAATTCAAACTGATACTTTATTAAGCAAACACAGTGATTAACACAATAGTCAACGTTTCAGTCTATGTAGACTTTTTTCAAGACCAAGGTCTTGAAAAAAGTCTGCATAGACTAAAACTTAAATTAAATAAAGAAGAAATAAATCTGGTGGAGCGTCTTCCAAATGTCAATCCGTACCTTAAAGTTGCAGTGCAGAAATGAAGCGGCTTTGTTGCCGATGGATTAAGTGTCTTTAGATGCCTATAATTTGCCGATATCTCCTGTATCTTTTATTATTTAATGCATCAAATGTTTAACTTACTACTTTGCTAAGAATATAATGATAAACCAAAATACACCAGAAATATGAGAACAATTATAAATGAAATGCATATATATTTATTTGTGATCTGTTTTCAGCAATCTTGAACACATTCAACTGTTGCAATGAATAAATACAATCTAAACTAATATTATATTAGATTGTAGAAAGTTGACCTAATATTCTCTGTTTGATTAGATGAAAATAAATCACCGATATCCTAAAGAATAAATTGGCACCTACTCTTACCTTCACAGATTACGAACTCCAATAATAATTTTTTACTTTCTCAAAAGACCCCAGGTTTTCATAAATGTGGCACCTGTTCTACATGTACTTATCAAAAGAAAGACTATCACGTTTACAGGTACTTATACGAATAAGACATATACTATCAAAAAATGTATGCACTGCACATCCACATATGTAATTTATTTATTGGAATGTGGATGTGGAGCACAATATGTAGGTAGAACTACTAGGACGCTACATACCAGACTTCGAGAGCATTTTAACAACATTAGGACCAACAAAGTGGAACACTTTGGTTTTTAAAGTTTATATACTTGTAACGGACCGTTTAGCATAAAAGGGGAAAAAACCACTTAGACGATAATCCCCCTTTTCAGAGACAGGCACAGCTACGGTATAATCACCAAAACTCACGAACCGCCAATAAGTGAATGCTCCAAACTCCCGAACGGCATACAAGGGAATAAGGTAGCACTTCAAATAAACGAACAGGAACCATACGAATAGCTGCTAGCAGGCGAACAGGAAAAGCTTCCAAGCGGCTTACACTCCTGGCAATCAGTCCTTAGCAGCATACAGTAAATCCCCCCAAAGACGAGACAAGGCTCCGTGTTGAGGGTCAAGCAGTGGTCTGTTTAATGAGGGCTACCTGCCCAGCTTTTATGCAGGTCTCCCACCTGGTGGACACTCCCCTAGGGGACCAAATGGGAGACTGTGACAAGGGACAGACAAGTATACAAAAAGGACACACAGTCACAGTATATTCCCACAATGCATCCTGGCTTCCTCCCCTCTGCCCTGGGAGATAATTGGGAAGTAATTCAATTATCTCCCAAGACAAAGGCAAAACTCCATTACACACGTGGGAACACAAAACAGCATTATACTTTAAAATGCACAAAGTAACATTTACTACATTAAACACAGGCATGTAACACATCCCCAGATAGCTCAGGTCTGAGTGCACATTATTAGGTGAATGGCACTCAGACTACACGAATACAGTTCAATCGCCATGGAGCCAAAGTCTTTACAGTCAGTTTCATACGAAGGGGCTCCATGGGATTCCTATCTGGGGTATAAGACATTCACACAAAAATACCGAACACCGGGTCATTCGTGTGCTTTCACCGAACAAGAAGGGAGGTCGGCGGCTTCAGCGGTGTTCGCGCAAAACTGTGTCCGATTTTAGTTCCATGAAAATAGAGGCGAACACCGCTGTTCATTCGTATGGTTTAAAATGGCCGCGACCTCGTGTTCGGGATACGAACGGCGGCCACCCAGCGTTCATCAATTAAGCTGCGGTTAACCGCAGCTTCAGGGAGGTTAATTGCCGGCACACTCCAGCTCCCAGGTGGTCCAGTCATTCGTACGGTTGTTCGGTAGATTGAAACTACCGAACAACCGGCAGAAAAGCATGAATATGGCTTTTCTGCATGGAAAAATAAAGTCTTTTAAAAGGGGGCCATAGTCCAAAGGCAGCAGGCGAGCAACCAGGCTTCTCCAATGCAATGTGGCGAGATTGGTCTCGTCACAATACTTTTTTGTACTAACTTTGGTTCTTTTCTCTTGTAGAATTTTGAGAGATTCTTATACCGTGTTTATATATATACATATTTTTGTGTATATATATATATATTTTTTTTTTTTTGGGGGGGGATAAAAATAAGCTGTTTTGAGTATGTGGAATTTCCATTTGTACATATAAGCGGATCCACTAGACACCGATTTCATTTTTAGGCTTTTTTGTAGTTTTTATATTTATATTTCTTATATATATATTCTTTATATAGTTTTTGATCTTTATTTTTATTATTTATTTTATTTTTTACATTTATTTTTATTTTTATTTATTTTTATACTTATTTTTACTTTATTATTATTATTTTTATATTTATTTTTATTTTTTATCTATTATTTTTATATTAAATTTTTTATTTCCTATTTATTTTATTTATTTTTTTATATTTACTTATTTTTTGATTATTTCATTATTATATATTTTTTCAATTTTTTTCAATTTTTTCCTTTTAGTTTTTTTAGTACTTTATATTTTTCTTTTGTGTTTAGGTCTCTGGAGGATCAGCATATTTATTTAATGTTTCTGTATTTGTTTTTTATATATATTTTTTACTCTACACTCGTTTGACATGATGGCTATATATGACATAGATGCGAGTACTTTGTTAGTCATTGGCATCTTGTTATTAAGTTTTGGGGTCAGATTTATGATATGCGTTCCATCATTGGAACGCCGTTATGTATGCTAGACGGAAGTGCCGCAGTGCGTTTCATTGTGGAACGCGGAAGTGGCAGGGACGATCATGTGTTCTTGTACGTCAGAATAGACTTGTCCAATGAAGAACGCCTGATGCCGGAACCCGGAAGTACGCTATACTGCGTGAATTTTTGACTAATGGAGAAAACCTGTACTAAGAGATATATAAAGAAGCGATCTTGAATTACCCTCATATTCCTGAAGAAGTCATCATTGACGAAACGCGTTGGATTTGAGCACTTTACAGAGACTTTTATTATTCATTTATCTTGTTTTGATTTTAGATTGTACTGCTATTTCATATCAGTGTTTGACAATCAGCTTTTGTTCCATGTTCTGCATAGATTGATTGGTCATCGTGTTCCACTTGTTAGTGGATATATGCCTGCAGATTGCGACCTGAATGTAAGTGCAATCAGTGAAAAAAACTTTTGTACATTTTCTACAGTACTACTCTATGTATATTTCCTTTTATATTTCTGAGGCTTTCAGACATAAGGACAATTCCGCTGCTGCATTCAGATACCCCTAAGGGGAGATAAGCACAGATCATCTTAACTTCTTGTAAGTTTTCCACCTCCTGGAAGCTTTTGCCCCTTGCCTTTGCATACTTCACCATATATATATATATATTTTTTTATCCTCTAGACCATTTTAGGTTACGCCCTGTTATACAGGTTGTATCTTTACATCCTCTATACTATATTTTTTAGCTTATGTTGCTTTTTTAAGTCACATTAGCTAATTTGTTTTGTTTTAGTGCTATATACCTCACTTTGCTTAATACACACACGTATACTATTACCTAAAGAATGCCCCGATAGACCTCTGAAGCTCATCCTATGCATTATAAGGTCAAACCAGACTACTTAAGCCTATTTAGGAAATTAGAACGATAACTAAATCTACACTAAGGTCTGAAAATGTGCCCCCTTTCTTCCATTTCCCTTGCTCGCAGGGACTTCCTTAAGGGTAACACCATACCTCCTCTCTCACCTGGACTATACTAGAAATGTCGACGTCTAGTTTTACCGGGTATTGCAATATACTTTCAATGTTTTATTTACAATATGTTATGCTATGTTATGACTATACATCATTAATGATATATAACCACAAATAACTCACTAGGTTCCACACACCTATAAAAACACCATTGTGAAGGCAAATATAGAAGTTAGAGCCTAGCCAGAAAGTTATTAACCCACTGGGAAACTTATAAATCATTGACTGACATCTGAAGACCATGAGAGGGTTAACGCTCAACCCAACAGTTTAGGATAGATGGTCTCTCTCCCAAAACATAGGGGACTCTCCGCCCCCACGAGGGCTTCAGTGTCCAAGAGCACTAGGAAAATCAGGTCTCATGTCGGAGACCTTTTCTTTGTATATAGTTGGTTAAATACTTTTTGTTGTTCCCCCCCCGTTAAACCCCCTCCCCTCCAAGACGACACAATATTACAAAAGCATGACTATATTTACCCCGCAAAACTGGGCAATAAAGATATATAAATATTTCATTAAGGTTCAACAGAGCGTACCTCTGCTTTATAATCGAGCAACTCCTAGATCAGATACCAAGAAGAATGCCAAATCGCATTGTTTAGGCAATAACAAACCACAATACCAGCTCACTCTCACCTCATTAACAATCCCACATGACCCTTAACATCCTTTCAATAAACTCTAAAGGACTTAATTCACCTCACAAACGCCGCATGGCAAAAAAGCAGAAAGCTCACATAGCATTTTACCAGGAAACGCACTTCCAAACATCCACCTAGCCAAAATTCTCATCTAGATACTTTCCATTAGGCTACCATAGCACATACAGGAAAAAAAAAAGAGGTGTCACTATCCTGATTAGTAACAAAGTTTCCTTTCAATTGATAAAAATAGTGAGCGGCAAAAAGGAACGTTATCTTCTACTACAATGCATAATTAAAAATGCCCAATATACATTGGTCAACATCTATGGCCCACATAATGGTCACCATATTTTTCTAGATCACATTCTTACTTTAACAACTGCCCATAAGTTTAGAGACATTGTGATTGGGGGTGATACTAATTTTATTCTAGACCCAACTTCAGACATAACCTCTTCCTCCAAAATCTCACAAAAGACAACAAAACAAAGAGCTCGCTCAGCTTCACTCATAGAAACCATTCTACATACACATGGATACACTGGCATTTGGAGAGCCTTAGATACTTTAGACAAGGACTATACACACCACTCCCTGGTACATGATACCTACTCCAGAATTGACCGCTTCATCATTCCATCAACGCAAACATCAAAGATATCTAAAACCAACATAGGCATTATCACATGGACTGACCATGCTCCAATCACATTATCAATTACAATGTAACACCACACGAGTGGGAACCGTATTTGTCGATTAAACTACTCTCTCCTAACAGACCACACACTTGTAGCACAAATAACCAAAGATCTAGAAACATACTTCTCCTTAAATGATACAGGAGCGGTAGGAATAGATACCCTATGGCAAGCTCACAAAGTGGTCCTTCAAGGATGATTTATTAAACACGCCAGCAACACCCCACGAGTGGGAACTGTATTTGTTGATTAAACGACTCTCTCCTAACAGACCACACACTTGTAGCACAAATCACCAAAGATCTAGAAACATACTTCTTAAATGATACAGGAGAGGTAGGACTAGATACCCTATGGCAAGCTCACAAAGTGGTCCTTCAAAACGATTTATTAAACACGCCAGCTACAATAAAAAGCAACGAATGAAAGCTTATATAGACATAAACAAGGAATTAGCTACACTAACCCGTGCAAACAAACAAACACCATCATTTGACATCACAAAACAGATCCTTCAATTGCAGTCCAAATTGAAAGACATAGAAATGGCAAAAACGACTTACCTACTAACAAAATTGAAACACAAATTTTTTAAAGAAGGAAACTTAAAGCAAGAGCCCTGTCATCCAAAATCACATTTATTAATACAAAAAAGGGAGATAAACTTACCAACCCGAAAGAGATAGTGGAGGAATTTAGCAGGTACTACAGCGACTTGTACAATTTGGCAAAGATGTCTGACTGCCATACACCTAAACAGGATGACATAGATGCATTTCTGAATGATATCAGCCTTCATACTCTCACCCCGGAGGAAAGCCACAGTCTGACACAACCTTTCACACCACAAGAAATTGCAGATACACTGAGACAATTTCCAAAGCACAAATCACCCGGACCTGATGGGTTTACAAACCTATACTGCCATACTTTTGAAGATATTCTAGTGCCTCACATGACGGCAATGTTTAACCAGTGTTTTCAGAAGGGGTCCATGCCCACAGCAATGCTTCAAGCTCACAACCTTACCAAAACCTGGGAAGCCCCCAACCCAATGTCCCGATTTTCAACCAATTTCCCTATCGAATTGTGACACCAAAATATATGCCAAACGTTTAGCGAATAGAATAAGTACTATACTAACTCGCATAGTACACAATGACCAATCAGGCTTCATTAAGGGTAGACAAGGATCTGATCATACTAGGAAGGTAAGGGGTGTGGTTGTAGCCTGTATCAAATCTTACTAAATTGTAGCAATAACTAATTATTAATTTATTTATAATTTCTCAAGGAATGTTACTTTTCCCCAAGAGAACAGATCAAATAGTTGGACTTAGAGTATTTAATGCTGTCTCCATGGAGACTCCAGCCACCGCTTAAACTTTGATTGAAACTTGTCAAAATCTATCCACCGTTGGAGCATTTTGAAAGATGTATCCCTCAAATATTGCTTATACCCTGGAGGGAGTGATGTCTGAACTCTTGGGGCATTTATGCCTACAATCTTCATTGTAGATTTACTTAATAGGTGCTAAGGGGTTTATCCAACAGGAATTTCTTAAATATCCCCAATTGAGGACTTTCTGCCACTGCACCAGTGCAACATATTACCATGCATCATGCACCCTTGAGTCATTTTACAGAGCCTCCTGTACCCATGCATTATTTTGCAGAGCATTCCTACAGTTAACAAAATTTTGTATTTAATTTTTTATGCCAGTCACTGCATGGCTATGTCATTTTATGGTGCTAGATGCCCAGAGTTATTGATGCAAAAGTGGCTAAGTATTGCGTGCAATGCCTTACATGCACTATTTTGCTTGCATAGAGAGAATGATGCTGACCTATCACAAGAAACTCTATTTTTAAGGGCTTTGCACAAAGAAAATTGCTTTCCAAGTTGTATTCCCCTCGTTAACTGAACTCATAGTGTAATTCTGCCCTGGTGCTCTGATTTTAAAAGGAAATGCATTGCTTCTGCTTTTCTATACTATTAAAACCACTGGCTCCTGAGGTTCCAACACATGATCTAAAGGTGAAAGAGATTTTTAACAAAAAAAACACACTGGCACATTACCTCCACACAGACCATATGACTGTGCCTGAAGGCAGGGAATACCAATTAAAAGTATGATTATGGAGGAATATATCAAAGATGCTCTCTCCAAGGATTTTAATCCTTTTCTCCAGCTTGTGCAGGATCTTCATTGTTTCTAAAAGGAAGAGCATCTACAACCTTGCATCGAGGGGTCTAAATAAGATAACTAATTAGAAATGCATATCTTCTACCCCTCATAATTGAGCTTTTGATAGACTTGATTTCAGAAGTGCCTATAATCTCGTGAAAATCAGAGAGGGACATGAATTTAAGACAGGCATTACAAATTCCTTGTAGTACCTTTTGATCTTTGAAATGTCCCAGCTGTTTTCCAGGACATCCTCAGAAGTATATACATTATTTCATCCTTGTATACTTAGATGACATACTTATATATTCACCTGATGTCCAGGCACATCACATGCATGTAAATCAAGTGCTAAAACCTTACTGGTGAATGGTTTATATTGTAAGCTATAAAAAGTCTCTTCAACCAGATTGAAGTACAATTTCTAGGTTATATTATTTCTGCTTCTGGGTTTAGTATGGATTACAAAAAAATGACTGCAGTACTAGAGTGGTTAATACCCAAGGGATTAAAAGCCATCCAAAGATTTGTTGGATTTTCAAGTTACTACTGCAGATTTATTAAGGGGGTTTTCTTCTTTTATGGAACCTATCACCAATGTACACATACATGGCCTTCTGAGACCTTAGCTGCTTTTGAACAGCTTAAGAAATAATTTGCTTTTGTGTCAGTCATCAAGCACCCAGATAGTTCTCCACCATCTGTGCTTGAGTTTAATGCCTCTGAAAAAAGAATAGGGGCTGTGCTATCATAAAGAAATGCTCATGGTAAATGTCTTCATCCCTGTGGCTTATTTTCTCACAAGCTTTCAAAAGCTGAACAAAGTTATGATATTGGGAACAGGGAATTATTGGCTATTGCTTTGACTCTGATAGAATAAAGGTATTTATTGGAAGAGTCAGAGAATCTCATGATGATACTCATAACCAGGTGGTCATTATTCCTATCTCGTTTTAATTATATTATTAATTCAGAGCAGGGACTCGTAATGTTAAAGCACACACAATGTCCAGACAACTTGAATTGTTTGATGAGAAAGAACAGGCAATTGTGCCAATAACTTCTACAGAACGAATAGTAGTATCATTATTTCTTTATCATCCTCTCTTTTGGAAAAATAGTACATGCTCTAATAGAGGAACCAAATTGAAACTACTTTTTAAACTCGACAATAATAAAATCAGGAAAACATCTAGACATTCTGATGGACATCCAAATACTAGGGCCTTTGTTCAAGCTTGTACTACTTATGCTATAGCCAAAACACCACACCAATTACCATGCTTCCTATACAAAACATACCTTGGTCACACCCAGCTATGCACATCAAAGTAAATAAACCTCCTTCTGAAGGACACTCCACCACTTTAATGATAATAGACTGATTTTCCAAAACGTCATATTTTGTTCCTTTGTCTAAATACACTAGATCCTCAAAAATTGCCAAAATATTTGCTAATTAGGTGTTTTGCTTACATGGAACTCCTCAATAAGGTAGAGCCAAATCGATTGCTGCTTTTTCTCACTTAACCAAGACAACTGGTAAGACCTGCTCCCCTGGGCTGACAAATTCCATTGTACTTCCCCTACTAACCTGGGGGTGAATAAAGTGTGGCTCTCCATCTACAGCACACACTTGAAGGTTCCCTTAATAAAAAGGGTAATATGATAAATAGGGCCTTTCACAATTTTCAAAAGGGTCAATCCTGTCTTGTATGCCCATATTCTTCCCTCTGATCTGTACATTGTTAATATCTTTCGTGTGCCTCATATTTGTTTTGATAGACAGGAAGAGAATAAAACTGAAAAGGATTCCAGATGTTCCCATGGTACTTTGCAGTATTTAGGGCACTAGGAGGGTTATGGGCCTAACAAGCATTCCTGAATTCCTGCTACTTATTTGCATGCTCATTTACTCATTCACTCATTTTATTCCAGGTTTCCATTTAAGCTCTGTCCTGCAGGCCGGTGGATGAATCTCAAGGTTGTTGTGACTTTACAGCACTAGTGTGGCATATTAACATGCATCTTGCACCCATGTGTCATTTTACAAAGCATCCTGCACACATTCCTCATTTTACAGAGAATCCTGCACCAATGTGTCATTTTACAGAGCATCCCTACAGTTCACATGGTTCTGACAACAATTTCAATGCATGCTGCTGAGTACCAGTGCCATTTTATGGCGTTGGATTGCAATGCACAATTAATGACTCAAACATGCCTACATCATTTATGTGAAAAGCAAACAAGATATGTGAATACAACCCCAGTGAGAAAGGTGTATAATTTTAAGCAGAATGGAACTTCCCTGTGTCATGTGAAGTATCCAGAAAGGTCCTCAAAGACTTCCTCCTGTCTTCAACAGAATATATACAAATAGAATAGGGGATAATCCGCTAAATACAGAATAAATAAAATAACATAGCGTTTAACTGTGTGAGAGTAAGTAACAATATGTTAGTTACAATTGGCCACTCACAAATTCCCAGATGTAAAACAGCCTTAAGTAAAATCTCTCCTCCAATATCCACTGTATTTTCTCATCTTCACACTCCCATCAGTAGGTTGGAATATGTAACTCAAGAAAAAAATATACAGAAAAAAATGTAGTGCACTTCCAGAGTATAATAAAAAGGAATTTAATAACTTACATATAAGCATAAAACAATTTGTCCTACGCGTTTCGTCCCGAAATCGGACTTCCTCAGGGACTTGGTGAACAAGTAGCAGCAAAGATTCCAATACAATATAAAAGACCTTTCCCTCCCACAGTTCTTTTATATCCCCCCTAAAGTTCATCATTGAATAATTCCCGGCCGGTGCTCCATTTCTGCATGGGTGGCGCTTCCTGCTTTCTTCCTGTTTCAGCGGTGTCGTCATTACGCACGCCGCATGCATTTCATCTTGCGTTCCAGGAACCCGGAAGTAGATGGTGATCGTCCATTTTTGTGAATTTTCAATTGCTCTGAAGATGCCATGAATATATATATATATAGGTGGATAAATGGACAGGGGAGGAAAACAATAAAAAAAACTCTGGATGGCACAACATGAATATACCTATATCAATATAAAATATATTAATACATGGATGCAAGAATATATCCATTGACAACCTGTTTTTCATTCTATTAGAGGTGAAAAGACCTCCAAAAAATGAAAAAAATATAAAAAATATAAAAAATATTTATAAAATATATAAAAAATACATTAATAAAAAGAAAAAAAAACAATGTTTACACAATGAATATATATATTGGTTTGCATGTTCAAATTCCATAAACCACAATCTATGCATTACATGTTTTGAAATAATATCAAAACCAAAATTGCAAAAAAATTGCAAAAAATATAAAAATCGAGATATCTGACATCATTTTCTTTGAAGTACATTGGTGACTAGGTGAAAAAGATGTGAAGCCCATTTTATACTGCACTTTTTCTTCTATCTCTTTACTTCTTTTTTTCTTTTTACACTTTGGTGTTCTATAAAATAATACAAAAAAAATAAATTAATCCAGCTCATTAGAAACCATCTTTTAATTTGTTTTAGATCTTTTCTTTTTTTTTTTTTGTTACCATTTATAATTCAAAAAGCAATCCATATCTATGTGATGCTGTACCATTTGGCACTGTTATCTGATGCTGTAACATTTGGCACCATTATGTTATACTGTACCATTTGGAATCGTGACCTATCATAGGCTCTGCAATATTTTCACTGTACTCAAGCAACCTGAATTTGGACAAATGGAAAGACACAGGTATCAACCAAGTAGAAGACGTTAGAAGAGATAAAAATAAATTGTTTTCAAGGATCGCTGTGAATTTTTGACATACATAAAAGTAACAAATTTGTTACATGAAAAAATATCAGTTGCAAACATTATTGATAATCTTTATTAGACATGTGCACCAGCGAATGGTCAGTGAGAGGAAATATTTAACACATTAGATTAAATACATTACAACAGTGTGTTTGAAAAATACAAAAGAAAAGCAGTAAAAGTGTTTAGTATTTTATGTCAAGGACCACAAAGGGCACCCAGATCACTTAATCTCAATTAAGTGGTCTGGGTGCAAGGGCCCTGTAGTTTTAACTCTGCAATCTAAAATCGGGTGAAATTTGGTGAAACATGTATTTTACCTAATATTAGATACAAGAAGGACTGAATACCTAGCTTTATTTGATTTTATCTTATCCTCAATATTACTAAATGACATTAGAAGTTAAGTTTTAACCTTGGCACTAATTCTAGTAACTCTCTCAATTAGGATACACCTGCTGGTAGATTTTATTTTTTTTTATTTTTTTTTTTCTTAATTCCAGTTAACTATTTAGGGGTTATCCCCTGTTTTTTTTTATGCCACCACCAGTGTGTTTCTTCATTACCCCATAGGCTCTACTTTCTCTAATCAACTAAACTTTACTTATGCAAAAAATAATAACATAGAAATGTTCTTTTTACCAAGTCTTGTCATCAGTGTGCTTCTAGTGGTGATGTCCTGCCCTTGCAATTGCAAACTGCCTGATTGACTAATGTTATGGGTAATATGAGGTATCCTTTGATACGTGGTGTACTGTCATGGACAACTCACCATTTATAGATTTTTGACATGCAGGGATACTCACTAAACACTTTAAGTCACTGAATAGCCCTGATAGACAATTTAATCATCATTAAATATTTTGGTTTGTGTACATAACTAGGCAAATGTATATATAAGTGTACCTGTCTGTCTGTCTGTCTATCTATCTATATTTCAATATATCTAAATAGACCACAAGGATTATTCTATCTATCTATCTATCTAGTATCTATCTGTCTATCTATCTACAAATATTTAGACACACACATCCAACAATCCAATACATTTTTCAAAGTTTAAGAGGGTTAAATATTTTAACAAGCAATACATTTAAATGCATCTTTAATATCATAAAGTCATTTTGATGAAATATTACTCTAGAGCCTTCATTACAGAGTTTCAAGAGTAATGTGTTAATATCTGAACAGATGGCAAAGCTATTGGATTGCTGAGCACCTCTAGGGTAAATCCAAGTGCCACTCCTGAAAAATCATCTTCTGTCAACCAATCAACTGAATGGATTATGGCTTATATTTATTTTATATTATCTTCTGACATGTTTGCTACATGTTCTACAGCAGCTTTGAAGAAACAGTTTGTTTGTTTTAAAGAACCCAAGTGTATTACGCTATCTCTAATGACCGGATTTAATATACTAGTTTATATTACTCTAAATATTTAAACTTTGTTTTTTTAAATCTTTATTTTTTCACAGTACACTGACAGATCTTATAATACAATATATTGTACAATAAAGTCAAGCGTTATCAGCAACAGAACACATGCATATTGGTGTATACGATGAAAGTGAAAGGTCTAAGATAGTGAACAAAGGTTTTTAAATATAGGTATTAGGCAAAAGAAATTGGAGTAATGCTAATGATTGTATGAAATGAGTACAAATGGCTTGGAGTAATAACACGTTATCTCAGACAATACCCGCGTGCAATATCGTGAGGTACTTAATCTAGAATTACTGAAGCTTCCCAAACAGTTAAATGCCTAATAAAAAATATCAGGATGAGTTAGGTACACAAATCATGGATGTTAATAATGTAAAAGAAAATGGTTAAAAAAACATGCATGGATCGGGCTAACACTAGGCTATACATGAATAGAGAATAGAAAGTATTGCACTGTGCTATGATCATAGAGGAAGATCCCAGTGCTAAGCATTAAAATAAATAGAATCAAATAGAGCTTAAACAATACCTAATATAAAGGTAAAGTTAAAATGAGAACAAAAAAGAAGTAGAAAAAGAGAATCTACTGCAGCCTCACAAGGTACACAACAAGAAATACTAATGAAACTACTAGAAGACTTATTCAATAATAAAGGGCAGTATAAAGCTTGTATGGAAACCAACCCCTATACAATGGCTGTAACAAGACCCTCAGTCAGCCAGGGCAATGGCTGCTTGTGAATATGTCCTCAGAGTGTCCCCAATGCAGCAGCCTTCCTCTGCTGCGGTATGCTGGATTGCTAACACTATCCCCAGCCAATTTGTGCAAATTTGCATTTAAACCGACTTCAATGGACATAATGGAGAACTGTACAAAAGCACAAATTTTGTCCCGAACGGCTGACCACCCAGGTTAGGAGGGTGCCTCTTTGTTCTACCTGGTGGTCGGTGTTCGTTTGCCGAACACGTGGTGGCGGTGAATTTATTTAGTCGAACGCACTCAGCTAAAACCTCCATCCTCCGTGAGTTCAGCTAAATTCATATGAACACAGCACTTTTTCCCTGGTTTAAACTCCCGAACAAGCCGTTTTCAATGAGACCAAGCACAAAGCTTTCGACTTTTCGTCGAATGAAAATAGACCGACCGCACAGCCTGAATCTGTGGAACTGTTTGGGGCTTACAAACAGGCGTGCGGTCGGTCCAAAGAGACTTTTTTGTATCTCAGGAATTACCAAATGGATTTGCACAAATTTTGGATATGTTTTTCCCCAAGTTGTTCTGTGCATAAAAATATAAGTTTTATTCCTGTATCTCATAAACTCTCAAAGTTATAAAAATTTATAAAAATTTTAACTTTTCAGGTTGGAGATAATTGAGTAGATACAGTTAATTAACTCAATTATCTCCTAAGCAGAAGGGAGGAATTTACTGTAACTGCTGGGTGTAACCTTGTATGTGATTGGTTGCTGTAACTGCCTTGTGGGTGTTGCCAAACCTGTAAGATCCTGCATAAAAGCAGCAATAATGGCTCATTGGAGTCAGTTCTTCACCCTTCAAAACGTAGCTGTGTCTCGTTATTGAAAGGGAACTTGCAGCATAATCACTAGCTCTTTTCAGAGCTCTTCCTCTCTACTGCCCCAGGGATTCAGCTGATGGGACTTCACCTCCTCACTTCAGCCAAGTACCTGGCCCAGAGAAAGGACGTCCCCAATGGCAAATACCCCTCTCCACTCTGGGTAGCCGTTACAATGGCCCTTCATCCCACTCCAACCTCTGGCATGTCTAGATGTAATGATGGCAAAGTCCCAGCATAGAAACAAGTCCAACATATTCCACTCCACCAGCCCCAGGTCACTGTGCCAATGAATCTGGCCCTTCTTAGAGCCAAAATCAGAGTCCTTGAAAAGGCCCACCAAACATCAATGGATGACCCTCTCGGATGTTGGGCTGTGATGTGGTGGTCTACTCCTCAAGGCTTGAGGCCTAGGTAAGTGACTGTGTGGGCTAGTCTTGAGTACTGCATATGGTGTTGTGAGTGGCCGAAAGCCCTCCTCCTTCTGCTGGGGTAATTTAACAATAGCAGTATTGCATTTAGGCAACATGACCCATAATTGAGAGCAGAGGTTGCCAAACACCTTCACAAATGAGTCTTTCTGCAGACTAAATAGTGTAGTCGGTCTCGGAGGGACCCATTTTATAGCCATTTTAAGGTCAGGGCATGGGAATCCCAGTGGAGGATAAGCCAAACATCTCTCGCTGAACAGCATTTGATCCCTCTAGTGGGAACCAGGATAACCCTCACTGGTCCAAAGGGGGTGGAAACAGGACCAGCAATAGTGTGTTGTAGTTTGGCAAAAGAGCAGAGCGACAGGTGGCTATCTCACTCCCTGCCTGAGCAGGCCGAAATTACAGAGGCTTTTAAACACCCATTGTCATGCACTCAGCAGCCCTGGGGGGCCCAGACTGCTCTGGGAGTCCCGGGCCCCACATTCCCTAAGTGCACTTATATATAGTGATTATAAGACAGAGGGTGCCCAGCACATTCGGTCTTCACTGCCCAGCAACTCTTCTGCCTGTAATGTCTTGCGAGACTAAGAGGAGCTGCTGGAAGGTTAAAACTGCATGTGCTCCCTCTGCCATGTGCTGCGACTTGCTCCCTCCACCATTGTAGCGGACCATGGGTAACCCAACTGGTTACCTCTGCTAATTCGTTCTCTCAGCACGACTGTAATCATTAAAATATGCAGACATCCATTCCCCCAGACAAAACATAGTTCTGGGAGTCAACTCATTTATTTCAGGCCATGTGTGGCTTTTATGCACACACCCCTATATGGGGTCTCCCACAAAACAATACAGGGTTTTCTTTCCCAGGGTCCTCTATGCCTGAGAAATAATTGCATGAGAAAAACAATAACCAAACTATCTCTCAGGTACAGAAAAACCTACATAAAAAATATACAGTACCCCAAAAGTACCCCCCATAGTTACATAGTTACATAGCTGAAAAGAGACTTGCATCCATCAAGTTCAGCCTTCCTCACATTTGTTTTTTGCTGTTGATCCAAAAGAAGGCAAAAAAAAAAACAGTTTGAAGCACAATTTTGCAACAAGCTAGGAAAAAAAATCCTTCTTGACCCCAGAATGGCAGTCAGATTTATCCTTGGATCAAGCAGTTATTTCATCTGTATGGACTCTGATAAAACCACTTCTTCAGGCTAGAATTCCACATCCTGATTGTTCTTACAGTAAAAAACTTTTCCTTTGCCTTAGACAAAATCTTCTTTCTTCCAGTCTAAATGCATGGCCTTGTGTCCTATGTAAAGTCCGGTTTGTGAATAGATTTCCACACAATGGTTTGTATTGGACCCGAATATATTTGTATAATGTTATCATATCCCCTCTCAGGCAACGTTTTTCTAAACTAAATAGGTTTAAATTTGTTAACCTTTCTTCATAGCTGATATGTTCCATTCTTTTTATTAATTTTGTAGCCCGCCTCTGCACTTTCTAGTGCCATAATATCCTTCTTTAGAACAGGTGCCCAAAATTGCACAGCATATTCAATATGGGGTCTTACTAGTGATTTATAAAGAGGCAAAATTATATTCTCGTCCCGAGAATGAATGCCCTTTTTCATGCATGACAATACCTTACTGGCCTTGGCCACTGCTGATTGACATTGCACATTGTTGCATAGTTTGTTGTCTATAACAATTCCCAAGTCCTTTTCGGGTGTTGTTATCCCTAATTCGCTTCCATTAAGGGTATACGTTGCTTGTGTATTCTTTATGCCGAAGTGCATAACTTTGCATTTTTCAACATTAAATTTCATCTGCCATTTGAGTGCCCAGTCCTCCAGTCTAACTAAATCCCTCTGCAGCAAAGTAATATCTTGCTCACATTGTATTATTTTACAAAGTTTTGTGTCAAACATGACTTTCAATGCTGTCTTCAAGATAATTTATAAATATGTTAAATAGAAGGGGTCCCAGAACAGACCCATGAGGGACAGCACTTGCCACCTCTGTCCAGCTTGAAAATTTACCATTAATGACAACTCTTTGTACTCTGTTTTTAAGCCAATGTTCTACCCAAGAACAAGCATTTTCATCTAGACCGATTTCCTTGAGTTTGAACACCAATCTATTGTGTGGAACTGTATCAAATGCCTTGGCAAAATCCAAATAGATCACATCCACTGCAACACCCTGATCTATACTTCTACTTACTTCTTCGTAGAACGCAATCAAGTTAGTTTGACATGACCTGTGCTTCATAAAACCGTGCTGATTTTTGCTGATAACCATGTTCTTCTCAAGGAATTCTTGAATATTATCCCTTAATAACCTTTCAAATATTTTACCAGCCACAGAAGTTAAGCTCACAGGTCTATAATTTCCAGGCAAGGATTTTGAACCCTTTTTGAATATAGGAACCACATCTGCCTTCCTTCAATCCTCTGGAACACTGCCTGAAAGAAAAGAATCTTGAAAGATTAAAAACAGAGGTTCACTTATTTCTACACTTAGTTCCTTAAGTACACGTGGATGGATACCATCAGGCTCTGGAGCTTTGTTTATATTAACTTTTTTTAGTTGATGCAGCACCTTGTCTTGAGTTAACCAATTACAATTATTCTGCAAGTTTTTAGTAGCAATCATTTGCACATCTATTGCCATGGGTTCTTCCTTAATATATAAGGAGGAGAAATAGTTATTTAAAATTCCTGTCTTTTCCTGGTCTTCATTAACTAACACCCCCGTTTCAGTTTTTAGTGTACCAACACTTTCATTTTTGTTTTTTTTAGAATTTATGTACTTAAAAAATGCTTTGGGGTTGGTTTTGCTCTCTTTAGCTATCATTTTTTCATTTTAAAGTATAGCAAATCTAATTGCCTTTTTGCACGCATTATTTGCTTCCTTATATTTTTTATAAGATGCATCTGATTTGTACGATTTAAATGCTTTAAATGCTTTAAATGCCATTTTCTTATTTTTAATCTCTTGTTTTATTTCTCAACTAAGCCATATTGGTTTTAATTTGTTTATTTTATATTTATTTCCCAATGGTACATACTGAGAAATGTACCTTTCTAATATTTGTTGGAAGATGATCCATTTATCCTCAGTGTTCCTTTCACTAAAGAGTTTATGCCAGTCAATATATTGTAAAGCTTCCTTTAACTTATTGAAATTGGCCTTTTTAAAATTATATGTTTTAGTATACCCCATGTGCTTTTGTTTTTTTGAGTTTATTTCAAAGGACACTATATTGTGATCACTATTTCCCAAGTGCTCACCTACTTGAATGTTGGTCAAAAGATCAACGTTGTTTGTTAAAACCAGGTCCAGACAAGCGTGCATTCTAGTTGGTGCTTGTACAAGTTGTGACATGAAGGTGTCATTTAACAAGTTTTAAAACCTAATTCCCTTTGCTGAGCTACTAGTCCCTCTGTCCCAATTTATGTCCGGGTAATTAAAGTGTTACCCAGATTTGCAGCTTTCTCAATTTGCTCAAACAGCTGTTGTTCCTCGTCAATATTAACATTAGGTGGTTTATAACATATACCAACCAATAGTTGGTTTCCCTTCTTTTCCCATACCCCACCACCCTTCTTGTTTTTCCTATCCATCCTAAATAACATGTACCCATTTAAGTTAGCTGCCCAGTCATGTGTCTCATCCCACCATGTTTCAGTTATGCCTATTATATCATATGCCTATTAGATCATAATATACAAGCAAACGCCTCTAGTTCCCCCATTTTGTTATTTAGGCTCCTTGCATTAGTAAGCATACATTTAATATTATGCGTCACTTGTATATTTTGTGAATTATCAACATTACATAGCTTCTCTGTTCTGAGCTTGCCCCTCCCCCCGTCTCCACCCCCCTTATACTGTGCTAAAGCCCATCTCCTTTCTGTCCTATCTCCATTTTGTAGATTGCTATGACCCTCCCCCCTACTACTAGTTTAAAATCTCCTCCAACCTTCTAGCCATCCTATCCCCCAGCACTGCAGACCCTCTCCCGTTTAGGTGCAATCCATCACTACTATAAAGGTTATACCCAATCACAAAGTCGACCCAGTGCTCTAAAAACCCCAAACCCTACTTCCTGCACCAAGACTTAAGCCACGCATTGACCTCTCTAATCTCCCACTGCCTTTCCACTGTAGCACGTGGCACAGGTAATATCTCAGAGAATGCCACCTTGGAGGTCCTTTTCTTAAGTTTGCTACCTAATTCCCTGAAATCATTCCCCATCATAACTAGGAACCCCACAAAAGTTATATTCCTGGATAATCCTTATCTGAGTGTATAACATATCCAAATATCACTCAGATCGATTAAGTGGAATTGGATTGCCACCGGGGTAAACTTTTGACCAGCCAGAAACAAAGAGATATCCCAAAACAGTTCCAGGGGAATAGGTGCCCTGGCCAGTCTCTGTTTGGGGGTTCCTGTGCGAACACCATGCAAGGCATTCTCTTGGTTTCAATGTCCGAATGCTCCCCCCCAGTTGGTAGTTCTTACCTCCTGAATGTCATTTCCATAGCTGGTCTGGAAGTAAAACGGGCAGCGGTATAATCTTTACCAGGGCTCGTGCGAGTGCCTAGCACTTAAGTTACTAGGTGGGAACATTCTAATGGGGTACCAGGGTGGTCCTCATTTGGGAGTTGA